GTCCCCTTTGCCACGGTTGGAGGGTGACGGCGAGGAGGGAACCTGTTCTCACCTCCTGACGCAGTACGTGTCCAGCAGCCCCTGGAAGTCGTGGGGGAAGGTGATGGCGTAAGCCACGAAGGCGGCCAGCTCGCCCCGGTTCGCTTTCTCCGGGGGGGTCTGCAGCAGCTCACACACCCGCTGCAGCCACGACTCGGCCAGGGTTGGGAGATCCACTGGCTCTCCTCCTGCCAGCGGCACCAGCTCCTGCGCAAGGAAAGCGGGGAGGAACGGGACACACGACACAAGCTTTGGCCACCCTGTTGCCACCCCCCCCACCCCACCCCGCGGCGTTGCGAGGGGCCGAGAGCATCTCAGGCCCCGACACCATCCCACGGCGCCGCTCACCCGGGGCTGCACCTCCTCCAGCGCGGTGAAGGCCATGATGAAGGAGTGGGCGACGGTGCCGCGCACCGGGATGCCGTAGAGCTTCCCCGCCAGGACGTTGCTGGTGCAATCGAAGCCTGCGTGGGGGGGGGGAACAAGGTAGAGGGGTGGGGAACGACAGGGTCGGCGACGGCGCGGCCGCCGGGCAGCACTCACCCCCGATGTAGGAGTACTTGGAGGCTGAAAGGGCACCGTCCGGCCCCTGAGCGCGCCGCAGCCCGATTTCCATCAGCTTCACCTCCGGGCCGGCAAGGAATCGGAAGCGGGCGGCGTTGGTGGCCACCAGGCTGCGGGGAGGAAGGACAGGTCACCCTTTCTCTCCCAGCCAGGCTGAGCACGGAGCCAGGGCGCAGCTGGCGAGCCGCTTCGCTGCGCGGGGACGCGGCGGGGACAGGCGCGGTCCCCGGCAGCCGAGGGGCCGGAGCAGGACGCGTCCCTTACCTGGCGTAGTTAACCAGGCACAGCAAGGCCGTTTCCAGCAGCTGCACCACCAGCAGCGGCCCCTTCACCTGCAGGAACGGGACCTGCTGGGGACAAGCGGGCGGTGACATCCCCGGGGAGCCGGCAGCCCCTCCGAAATTCGGGGTGAGGGTAAGGAGCGTTTATGGGTGCGTGTCTGTGTGTGTGTCTGTGTGTGTGTCCCCCCACCCTGGCGAAGACGACGGAGCCCTCGGGCGCGGCGCAGACGGTGATTTCCGAAGCGTCCAAGGTGGCCAAGTAATCGAAGAAGGCGTCTTCCGTGGTGCTGGGCAGGACGGAGCGCAGGTAGGCGACGTCTGCGGGGGGGGGGGGGACAGGGCTCGGTGGGCGCTGGGGACAGGGTGACAGTTTGCGGGGGGGGGGGGGACACGGAACGGACAGGACACACCCCCACCTCACAGCACACACACCCCCCCCGAGAGATTTAAGGTGAGGTAGAGGGGTACTCGAGCCCAGGGGCCCCCCCAAGTCCCCTCTGGGGGACTGCGTGGGAGCACTGTCCTCCTGGAGGGTGTCCCAATGTCCCCCCGGGGGCTGAGCCCTCTCCCCCGTGTCCCCGTTAAGTCCCTCTGAGAGAGATGTCCCTGTCCCCCTGAGGGGCTCCCCTGTCATCCCCCCCCCCCCAGCTCTCATTAGTGGGTAACCCCTGTCTCCCAGGTCCCTCTCAGAGGTGTCCCTGTCCCCTGAAGTCCCCCTGTCCCCCCTGAGGGCTGGCTCTGTCCCCCCCCCCCAGCTCCCACTGGGGGTAACCCCTGTCCCCTGAAGTCACCCTGTCCCCTGTGAGGGCTGGCTCTGTGTGTGTGTGTGTCCCCAGCTCCCACTGGGGGTAACCCCTGTCCCCCAGGGCCCTCTGAGAGATGTCCCTGTCCCCTCAAGTCCCCCTGAAGTCCCCCTGTCCCCCCTGAGGGCTGGCTCTGTCCCCCCCCCCCCCCAGCTCCCACTGGGGGTAACCCCTGTCCCCTGAAGTCCCCCCGTCCCCTTCGAGGGCTGGCTCTGTGTGTGTGTGTGTCCCCAGCTCCCACTGGGGGTAACCCCTGTCCCCCAGGGCCCTCTGAGAGATGTCCCTGTCCCCTCAAGTCCCCCTGAAGTCCCCCTGTCCCCGCTGAGGGCTGGCTCCGTTTCCCACCCCAGCTCCCACTGGGGGTAACCCCTGTCCCCCAGGTCCCTCTCCGACATGTCCCTGTCCCCTTAAGTCCCCCTGAAGTCCCCCTGTCCCCCCTGAGGGCTGGCTCCGTTTCCCCCCCCCAGCTCCCACTGGGGGTAACCCCTGTCCCCCAGGTCCCTCTGAGAGATGTCCCTGTCCCCTGAAGTCCCCCTGTCCCCCCTGAGGGCTGGCTCCGTTTCCCCCCCCCAGCTCCCACTGGGGGTAACCCCTGTCCCCCAGGTCCCTCTGAGAGATGTCCCTGTCCCCTGAAGTCCCCCTGTCCCCCCTGAGGGCTGGCTCTGTTTCCCCCCCCAGCTCCCACTGGGGGTAACCCCTGTCCCCTGAAGTCCCCCCATCCCCTGTGAGGGCTGGCTCTGTGTGTGTGTGTGTCCCCAGCTCCCACTGGGGGTAACCCCTGTCCCCCAGGTCCCTCTGAGAGATGTCCCTGTCCCCCTGAAGTCCCCCTTTCCCGCCTGAGGGCTGGTTCTGTCCCCCCCCGCCCCAGCTCCCACTGGGGGTAACCCCTGTCCCCCAGGTCCCTCTCCGACATGTCCCTGTCCCCTTAAGTCCCCCTGAAGTCCCCCTGTCCCCCCTGAGGGCTGGCTCTGTCCCCCCCCCCCAGCTCCCACTGGGGGTAACCCCTGTCCCCTGAAGTCACCCCATCCCCTGCGAGGGCTGGCTCTGTGTGTGTGTGTGTCCCCAGCTCCCACTGGGGGTAACCCCTGTCCCCCAGGTCCCTCTGAGAGATGTCCCTGTCCCCTCAAGTCCCCCTGAAGTCCCCCTGTCCCCCCTGAGGGCTGGCTCCGTCCCCCCCCCCCCAGCTCCCACTGGGGGTAACCCCTGTCCCCCAGGTCCCTCTCAGAGATGTCCCTGTCCCCCTGAAGTCCCTCTTTCCCGCCTGAGGGCTGGTTCTGTCCCCCCCCGCCCCAGCTCCCACTGGGGGTAACCCCTGTCCCCCAGGTCCCTCTCCAACATGTCCCTGTCCCCTCAAGTCCCCCCTGAGGGCTGGCTCCGTTTCCCGCCCCAGCTCCCACTGGGGGTAACCCCCTGTCCCCCCCGCGGGTGTCCCCCGTCCGTGTGTGTGTGTGTCCCCCCCCCCTCACCGGCGGCGGAGAAGCGGAAGGCGCGGAGGCAGCGCAGCCCCTCGGCCAGGCCGGCGCCCAGCGCGAAGGCCCCGCGGAAGGGCCCGCGGCGGAAGAAGAGCTCGGCGGCGGCGGGGAGGCGGTGGCGGCCGGCCCGCCAGTGCCCGTAGGCCATGGAGAGCTGGTAGAGATCGGAGAGCAGCGCCATGGCCCCGCGCGGGGCAGGCTGGGAGCGGCGGGGGCGGGGCCGCGGCGGGGGCGGGGCCGGGGCGGGGCGGGGCCGGGGCGGGGCGGACACGGGGGACACGGGGGCACGCGGGATGGCAGCACAGAAGGGACACGGGACACACGGGGCACATGGCACCAGGGACACAGAGGGGACACGGGGCACAGAGGGGACACGGGGCACATGGCACCAGGGACACAGAGGGGACAGGGATGGCAGCACATAGGGGACACGGGGCACATGGCACCAGGGACACAGAGGGGACACGGGGCACATGGCACCAGGGACACAGAGGGGACACGGGGCACATGGCACCAGGGACACAGAGGGGACAAGAATGGCAGCACATAGGGGACACGGGGCACAGAGGGGACACGGGGCACATGGCACCAGGGACACAGAGGGGACAGGGATGGCAGCACACAGGGGACACGGGACACAGAGGGGACACGGGGCACATGGCACCAGGGACACAGAGGGGACAGGGATGGCAGCACACAGGGGACACGGGGCACATGGCACCAGGGACACAGGGGGGACAGGGATGGCAGCACATAGGGGACACGGGGCACATGGCACCAGGGACACAGAGGGGACAGGGATGGCAGCACAGAGGGGACACGGGACACACAGGGGGTGGCAGCACAGCTGGCACCGGGCACACATGGCCCCAGCACACCAGGGACTCTGGGGACAGCAGCACACGGGACAGATGGCACCAGGGGCACAGAGGGGACAGGGATGGCAGCACACAGGGGACACGGGGCACACAGGGGGTGGCAGCACACACGGCCCCAGCACACCAGGGACTCTGGGGACAGCAGCACACGGGACAGATGGCACAGAGGGAAGGGCAGCACAGGGCAGGACCGCAAAGGGACACGGGGGGTGGCAGCACCTGGGACCCGGCTGTGCCACGCACCAGGCACGACAAAAACCCTGGCCACACCACCACGGGGACAACGTGCACGGGTGACACCAGGGGACCTGCAAGTCACGCCCAGGACACTGGGCCCAGGTGGGAAAACGGGCACCGGAGTCATCGTCACGGAGGGGTTGGGCACAGCACAACCCCCCCCATCTGCTCGGGGTTGGCGCTGCGGGACTGGAGCCCTGCACCTTGGACTCTGGCAGGGTGACAAGAACGTGTGTCCCCAGGGTCAGAAATGTCACCTCCCTCTTCCCACAGGCCACGGCTCCTCACAAACCGCAGGAGCAGCTCGAGCGAGCCGGGTTGGGGGGGCAGGGGAAGAAAAAAAGAAAAAAAAAAAGAAAAAAAAAAGAGGAAATTCAGCTGTCTACCGGCAATTCCTGATGTTTCCTGGTGATCCCACGCGGGTTTTGGGGTTTTTTGGAGGCTGAGCGGGGTCTCCACCTTGGGAAAGGTGAGGGCAAACGCCCTTAGCAGAGGCCGCGTGGACAGGATGCCACTCAGACCTGCGTTCCGACCCAAAAATGTAGGTAACCCCCCCCCCCTCCCCCCCCACAAAGGCCTTTAATGAAGGCAACGAGGAACGAAAATATCCCCAAGTCTCACAACGAACCACTTGGGAGCAGCTGCACTTGGCAGAGAAAAAACAGCATCCAATCTGCACTCCCAATCTGGCTCTTTATTGGTCAGGGGTTCAGGAGGGGGATACAGTTTTGCTTCTAGATCTTGTTGAAAGCAGCGATGTCGACGCTCTGCACCTGGAACGGAACGAAAAGCGGCGGCTAGAGGCGTTTTCAGACATTTTAAGCAGCGCTCACGTCGGGGATTTCCTCGCAGCGGTGCACTGGTGGTGCTCAGACAAGATGAAGCGTGGCCCGGGTCTCGGGCCAGCTGAGCTCAGAGAACCTTTAAGGACTATTATTGAATATTCTTTGCAGCATCAGTCACAACAGGACACCACACAAATCTCCAGCCTAACAAAGATCATCCTATCACGAGTTTCTGGCAACGTTAAGATTAAAATTCCTGGTGTTCCTGCTACGGTTTCCACGGGAGGAGGAAGGATGGAGACTCCTCCTCCAGCTCCGGCCGCCGAGGTGAAATATTTGTGTGTCTACCCTGGTGCTGCACAGACTCAGTGTTAAAGAAGGGGTTCCCCAAAATAAAGGTTGGTGGGGGCTGGATGAGCATTTGTAAAATGGCTCTTACAAAGGATCTGCAAGACAGCTGCATCGGCCAGCCTTATTAAGAATAAATATATTTAAATATGCTATACAAGTGGCTCAGCACATTTTCATTGAAACGCATGAAAATAAATCCAAGTTTGCCAAAATCTGCAACCCCCTCTCAGTTAAAAACGACCCCGCGGGGTCGGGCACCACCCGGCTCGCCGGCAAGACTTACGTAGTCTTCAAACTTGGTGATCTCCTCCTCCAGGATGTCCGTCCCAACTTTGTCGTCCTCCACGACGCACTGGATTTGGAGCTTCTTAATGCCGTAGCCTACCGGGACCAGTTTGGAGGCTCCCCACACCAACCCCTCCAGGTGGACGGACCGGACGCACTCCTCCATCTTCGCCATGTCGGTCTCATCGTCCCACTGCAAAAGCGGGAAGAAGGAACCTCAGCGTTTTCCTGGAGGGCACCATTAGCCCCGAGAGGTATCCGGTGCCTTCGAATTCCACGCTCCTCCTCTCTCAGTACGCCTCAGCTGAGCCAAGCTGCCTTTTCTTGGCTACTCTTTTCACCAGAACCAGCTGGTGAGTTAGCCAAGCTAAACCTGACTCCGCAGCAACGCTGCGCAGCGTGTGGTTTCAATTCTCCCTCCGGGCACTGCGGGTGCAAAGAGGGGGGGGGGGGATCCTTCCTGCAGCAACACAACGGCTTTGGGGCGCTCATTTTAAAGTGACTTTTAATCAAGGGCATCTCTCAGAGCCCAGAGTTTTTGTTCTACCATGCCCATTTGACAGAGAGTGGTTTGTTCCCATCTTTAGGGCGTTTATTATCTGTTTGTTTTGTTTTGTTTTTTTTCCTCCAAAGAAAAGGGCTAGTCCTGGTCAGGGGAACCCGCACTTGCCACGCAGGGCAGCAGCACAAAAGCTGCAGCTCCCCGCCACATTATCCCACCTCACTCTGACCCTTGGGGTTCGGAAATCTGCAGGTCCTCTCTTCCCCAAGTCCACCCAGATGGGCAAGGGAGATGATTTCCAGCCTCACCCAGGAGCTCCCCTACTTGTTACTCACCGGTTTCACATCCAGAAGGATAGAAGACTTGGCAATGAGACCCGGTTTCTTGGCCTTCTTCTCTGCATACTGACGCAGTCTCTCCTCCCGGACTTTGGCAGCCTCTTGGTCTTCCTCTTCGTCGTCACTACCAAAAAGGTCAATGTCATCATCGTCATCTTCCTCTGCGGCAGCTGGCTCAACTTTCTTTGCCGGTGAAGCAGATGGGAGCTCCACTTTCTTGGAGGGAACGCTGAACGGTTCCACTTTCTTCATCGGGGTGACGTGCGTTCAAGTTTGCAGCGAGGAAAAAAGGGGAGAAGATTAACCCGAAGCTGAATCGGAGCAGCACTCGAGAGCAGCTCAGCAACACAAGTCTACGTTGCTCAAGACAGCCAAAGCGGCCCACGCCACGTGATTTGTCCGAAGGATCGGCCATCAAAATAAGACTTTTGATCAGCTGGACCTTTGCATCGGCCCAGCATGGCCGTACATGTATTTCTAGAGTAAAAAATACCACGTAGCCAAGAGCTGATCCTTCTCCTAAAGGCTCAGGATATCTAAACCATGACTCCGAGTGGGACAGCAGCTGGGGACGCGACCAAGCATCTTCCCCGAGCCTGAGGAGGGGCCTACACATTCTGTAGGCTTACTGCAGAGAGCACCAGCACCACTGGTAGCACTACAACAAGAATCAATCAAATCCACGCCAGGCTTTCAGCTCCCAACAGAGCTTTCTCTTAAATTAAATTAAATACATTCTCAGAGAGGATATCTGTTAAAAAAGCGTCACCGATTCTGTTCATCTGTTGTAACAAAGTGCTGTTTTACCTGGTTGCCTCCACGGAACTCACAGGACCGTGGGCTAAATGATAATCAAGTATATATTAACTCTAAACTTCCACAGATCCCCACCAGAGCTCTCCCTAGCTGAAATCTCACCCGTAGCCTCCTTGCTGGTCTTAGGGCAGAACACTCCCCTTCACACGTACAATTTGGGAAAGATAAGGCAGCTGCCAAAACTGCTGGCAAACCTGCAGCGAACTCATCCTAACTACGAGCATCTCTCAAACAGCCACCAGACCTTGGAAATGCCCCGGCACTTTGTGACGTGAAGCGTTCAGGAGGGGCACTTTGCCAAGGCTCACCTGGGTTGGAGGAACCGGTGAGGGCTGGTGGGAGGTAGATGACTTTTCCAGAGCGTTCAGGCGGCTTTCTAACTTGAAGATGGCCATCTGAAGGTCTGCAACAACTGCAAGAAGAGGGGGTTGGGGGGAAAAAAAAAAAAAAAAAAAATAAAAAGGAACTTTATCTTGTAGGCTCTGCATCAGCTCTCAAGTCAGGGCAAATTTGCTTCTGCTCAAAGGGGGGATTTAAAAACCACCAGTTGCCTCAGTCAGAGGGAAGCCTGCAAAGCTCTGATCGAGACGCTGGCACACGCTCACCTGGCAAGAGACAAACTCAGTAAGGGATACACCCCACAGGAGCAGGACCCCGTCCAATTTTGCTTTCATGCTCGAAGATTCTCCTACTTACCACTGCGAAGGTTTTGATTTTCTACCTCCAGGTGAGAAATTCTGGAAAGGAGTTCATTCTGGTCACCGGCAGACGCGGAAGAGGTTGTGCTTGCACTCTGCAACAAGGAAAAATGAGCTGAAACAGATCTGCTCACCTACTCCCAAAGCCCAGTGGTTCAGTGAAGCAAAGCAGAGTTATGCCTTCAGGGAAGAAGAAAATACGAGAGCTAATCTAAGAACAAAGACATTTTCTCTAAAGGCTTTATAAAAAGACTATACTAGCTCTATAGAATGAAGCATGAAACCTCTATCTCAAGAAATTTCAGCTGGCACCGATGAGCAAAGGATAAAGTCATCCTTTACGGACTCAGATCACAGACTGCCACTAAACACACGTAAAGTTTGGAAGTTCCACACCAAGCCCCTTCAACGGGGCAGCTGGTCTCCTCTTACAAATCGAGGCACAGAGCTGAGAAGCGACCCCCCTAATGTCACACAGCGAGTCGCTGTGGAAGCTGGAAAGAGATCCCGGCATTTCTGTACTCCCACCTTCCCCAGTCCAGCCTTTAATTCTTCTCAAAACAATTTAATCCTACTTTAACACATCCTGAGGGGGCAATTGTTCCAATCAGGCTTCAAAAGTATTTAACAAAATGCTTTCCCTTTCTTTTTTTTTTTTAAGGAAGGCCTTATCTATAAATTCAAATCAGCAAAGGGAAAGAAAATAACAGGCCCTTGTGCTTTAAGTGTCATTTATAACTGAACATAACAATAGAGGAAATCATTTATACTCTTTCAAGGGCACCCTGTGTAGAATTATAACGTGGCTCTCGGTCGCAGTTGACACGCTTCTGAGATCTCAGCACTGAAGAGGAAGAAAGGGAAAAATGGGGGGTTAAGATGAAGAGAGAGGAACGTGGGGCGCACAGAAAGCAGATCTCAGGGTGCCCGGCCCTGGGAGACACGGAACAGTGTGAGCTGCTCCTAGCAGGAAGGTCAGCGAGACCCATCTCCACCCACCCAAAAAGAGGCAGGGGCCAGAGGTCAAAAAGCACCAGGAACTCAGTCCCCGCCGCAGCCTCAGGAACACGAGGGCAGATCTGCAGTCCCCGGACACCAAGCTGAGACTGTTAGAAGCTCCTGATATCCAGGGTGAGCTACAACCATGTGCCAAAGGACACGTGCTTCTCGCGGGAAGGAAGGAGAGCTCGGTTCATCTCTCCGTGGCAGGGCTGCCCGTGCCCTACGACGCCCTCTCAAATCACCCGACCGGCTCCATCGGTGCGCAGGTGACTTACAGTTGAGCGGCCCGACTGCCTCTTGTGACGGGCAGGAGCTTCTTTACTACGTGGAACTGTCTTCTGCTGCAAAGGGCAAAAGGTTTGGGGGATGTTTGGTTCAACGCGGAAGATAGAAAAGGATTTCGCTCATGCTGGAAGAGGCAAGTTCAAGTGCAGGAAGCAGATCCACATGCAAGACACAATCGTCAAGCGACGAGATACAGCCTCACACCAACTACACGCTGAACAAAAGCCTGCACAGAACCATTTATCCAGGAACTCTGCCATCGTCATTTTAAACACCTCGGCGCTCGCAGAAAGGTCACGCAGCTGGGCGGCAGGATTAGATTGAGATGGTGAGAGCCCGGGCTGGGTCATCTCCTCATCTGTAAAATCAGAGGTGCGGCAGCTGCACGCGTCGCTGCAGCCTCCGCCAGCTCTCCTGACGTTAGATCAAAATCTAATCGAGATGCAGAAACACGTGCAAAGTCACCAAGGCTCTTAAATCCGCGATTACCGCTAATGCATCTCTCCCAGAGAGGAGCAAAGCAACACACCACCAGGCTGCACTAAGAATCTGATGAGACCCCTGCGTGGGCTTCCAGCCTCACGTGCACCACCGAGAGCAGAGGCTGCTCACCACCACACCGGGCTAGCCCTTAGCTTTATGCACCAAGGAGAAAAATTGAAGCTCAGATACTCAGACCTCTTCCTGCTCTAGTTATACCTGCAGGGCCAAGGTCTAAGATAATCCAGTGAAAAGTGAATTCTGGCAGTAGTCACATCCATCCCTACCCCGTGAAAAAGCACTTCTTTGATTCATGACCAAGCACAGGAGCAAAGAGATATGCAGCTATTTTTTTTCTTATTTTTTTTTTTTCCAAAAGCAGCCTGCTGGTTCAGCTAAGCAGCAAGCACCACAGATTTTTTTTTTTTTTTTTTTTGGGCAGGTTGAAGCCCCGCTCACGTTTTCCCAAGCCAAATGCTGAAGCCTTTGAGCAGGCTCTGCGCTTGCCCCGGGCTATCCTGCGCACGTTCAAGACGCCGTAAGATGGTTACGCCTAATTGGTGCTGCGGGACGGCTCGCTTTTAAACCCTGGCTTTCAGCTTTCGTGGGAGCATTTGCCACAGAACCCAGCTGTGCCTCCACATTTCCCTGTTTGCAATAACCCCACAAAAATGAGAAACCTGAATTGAGGCCGTACCATCTACCTTTACACTTATCTGCTGCCGTCCTGGAGCCTCACGCCGAACAGGTCAGCCCTGCTCTTCCCTGTAGTCCCGCAGGAAAAACATCTGCAGCTTGCCAGGAGGCCCCCAGCTCCAGACAAACTCGCCAGCCTTGCGTGGTTACGTCATTTAGGGGAAGAGTTTGAGAAAAATCACAGCCATTTTCCTCAGAAAGGCTGTAGCTGTGGCTTGCAAGAGCAAGGCGAGAGGACTTTGGAACACCCTGCTCTGCCTGAAGCTGTTCTCAACGCAGGAGAGCACGGAAGAAAATGACATTTTGTTACTTCAACAGACCTTCTGAGTAGTATAAAATACTAGAATACAAAGCGAGCTGTTTATTGCTGTCAAGAGCTGTTTGTAAAGCTTTGGGTAGCAACCAGGTAACTCTGTAGAGCAAGGCAGAGCTCTACAATGCACAAATTCCTCCCCTTTCCACACTTCCTTTGCCAGCTTACGTTGAGCCTGCACGTGAGACGACATTAAGGTTGCAAACACAGCTAATGAAGCCCAGGAGAGTCAGCATTTTCAGTGGGGCACTGAAGTATGCACGCCTGCCCATCAGTATGCAGGAAATACAGGTAGCACAGGCACTCCAGGAGCTGCAGCACAGATATCTGGGTGGCTCCGTGGGGAGTCATCTCACCTCCAGGATTTCTCAGCTGCGAGTTGCTAATGAGGTCTCTGCAGAAATGGCAAGATCAGTTAACAACCGGGATGCACCTACAGGTTAAACGCCCACAAAATTTGTGTGAATAGTTCAGTGTTGTGCATCTGGAGGAACAGATTCAGCGTATTACATGTGCTAGCCCTGGATTCACTTGCTCCTCCGTGCTGTATTTCTCACAACTGTTTAAAAGGGAGGTTTGCAACACGGTGGAGGCTCATAGTGGTCCAAGATGTGGCACAGCAGAGGGACAAGAAGATGCTCGGAGGGCTGAAGCAGCTCCCCTGGGAGGCCAGGCTGAGAGAGTTGTTGGGGTTCAGCCTGGAGAAGAGAAGGGTCTGGGGAGCCCTTCGAGCGGCCTCCCAGGGCTTAAAGGGGGGGACAGGGAAGATGGGGAGAGACTTTTTACAAAGTCCTGTAGTGACAGGATGAGGGGCAACGGTTCTAAACTGAAAGAAGTTAGGTTTAGATTGGACATAAGAAGAAATTCTTAATGATGAGGGTGGTGAGACACTGGCCCAGGGTGCCCAGAGAATCTGTGGCTGCCCCCTCCCTGGAAGGGTTCAAGGCCAGGTTGGACGGGGCTGGGAGCACCCTGGGCTGGGACCAGATGATCTTTAAGGCCCCTTCCAACCCAAACCAGTCTGTGATTTAAATCAACACCCTGTGGAATTCAGACATGACTTGTTAATCCTGGGCAACCCCAGGGCAGGGTGATTCCGAGCACAGACACCTCTTGCTGGCAAGAGGGTTGCCATCCCCAAGGTCAAGCAAACAAGAGATTCAAGTTCTTCATGAACTGGGCGAGCCTGGAAACCTGTGACCTGTGTAAAGCACGGTGTAAGAGGCATGATGCTGAACCAAGTTCCCAATTCTGGAAGGTGGTCAAGCCACACTATCAGAAATTGTGGAAGAGTTGCCTTTGTGAGACCTGAGGTGAGGATTCTTCAAGCTTTTAGAGATGCGGTCACCAACCTCAGCTACACACTACCTAGAGTGTGTTTTTTCCTCCACACAACCATGCACTATTTCCTCTTCATATTCAACTATGCCAAGAGGCAGCTCGACACAAGTGTTTGTGAATTTTATCAATGACAGTAATTCAAAATCCCAAAGGTGGGGAGTTCCAAAGCATCACTGCAGTCACCTCCTGCACGGTGCCACGGATGGAGCTCTTAAAATCTTTGTTTTTTTCTAAGCTTACGCCACAGTTGTGCTGAACCCACACCAGCGACACACTGACCAATGCTGCAATGTCTTCAAAATATTTTGCATAGCAGAAGTGTTCTCCAAGCCTGGAACCACACCAAGGACTGCATATAAATTCAATCATCCAAGCAAATTAAAACCTTGGGAATTCTTGCTTATAAAAGGGTAGAAAACAGAATCTAGCCTCAGCCTCAAGGGGCTATCAACAGCTGGCCCTCTCTCAAGTTTGACTCTCTTAAAACATACTCTAAATATCAGAGACAAGAATACTGATAACAAAGGAGAAGTTGGCAAAGGTTACGTTTCTACATATCAGCTCAAAGAAACGTGTCTGGACAACTACAGCTAAGAGCTCTTGTCTTGGTATGTCAGGCCTAGCTACCGGCTGTGGCTGGAAAGCTGGCACTTCCCTCACGACAAGTAGTAGTATCTGGAGGTACCAGCCCTTTTCATTTGAATCAACAGCACGCAGATTTTATAAGCTCTGTTACAGACGTGGTGTGTAGGTTTTCCAGTCCAGAGCTCACAAGGCACTCACAGCTTCATCCAAAAAAAAAAAAAAAAAAAAAAAAGAAACCGATTTTGTGCACACAGAGATACAACACCCTTCCCCTTAGGTCAGTCTAACTGAGCTCTGGAAACATGGAAAGTTTAGCCATGGTCAGATATACAAAACTGAACTGTGGCGAGATGATGTTGAAGACCTAAAAGAGGCTTTCCCCCACACCTAAGACCAGCAGGATGGATCCTGCCTGGTTTCCTACAGCGGGTGTGACCCTTCCCTGCGCACAGATGCGTTTCTGAACGTGGTCTCCAAACACTTCAGCAAGATCAGAGGTTTCCCGGGAGCTTTTCTCCTTTGAAACCCACACGGCAGGAAACGCACAAGTGCAGAGGCTTTGTAAGAGGGAGCTTGGGCAGAAAAGGGAATAGAACAGAGCTTCAGACTCCCACACCAGCTGCCTACCAGCGACACCTCTTTCGTTACAGCCCCCAGGGAGGTTGTAGGAAGTGCGAGTTCAGCCACCCGCTCCGGTGGACTTGCTTATGATCTCAGGCAAGTCAATCCCTCCCGTGCCTCGGGTTCCCGGCTGCAAGATCTCTCACCACCCCGCCGTCTCAACGCCGCCAGCTGCAGTACCGCACGCGTTAACAACTCGATAGCGAGGAAAGCGTTAGCGATCGAGCCAACTGGAGAGGCTGTTTAAAGCAGAGATGACCATGCATAGCAGGATGAAAGGTATGTGCAAACAAATGTTTCCGGCATCAGAGCTTTGTACCCTCCCTCCTTCGGGAGGTACAAACCATCGCCTCAACCCTTCCGATGCTCATTCACACATTTCAGAAGACCGCTATCCAGCCGAAGCAGATCTGAAACCAGCCTTGGCTGAATTTCACAGCAAGAGGCACTACTCTTTCATCTTCCCATCTGATAAGAGACAACTCTTCACCTTCGACATCTTTATAGACTCCTGACAATAACTCTGCATGTTCAGGTGGGAGGAGAGACTAAATCCTGACTATAAAAACATGCCTCACTATCGTTCTGTAGATCAGACAGTATAAATTTGGCGGAAACATAAAAACAAAGTTTAAGCATGTTCTAAAGTCAAGCCTGCTTTATGCCATGGCTGTCCAAGAGCAATGATGATCCTTCAGAAATGCAAGCCGCAAAAGCTGATTATTTCATATTTCAGACTTGTTCCTCAACAGCTCAGTCTTTTCAACTCACACGTTAACACAGAAGACCCGACCGTGATTTATCTGTTTGAGGTTCCAGGGCAGAGGTGTGGCAATGTATGGAAAAACTGAAAAGGTGAGCTCTCCAGGGTCTTGTATAAACCAGGGTTAAGGAACGATGAGTTAAATGGGATTACAAAACAGAAAGGAGGAGGTCGCTGTTGCTATGTGCTCTGCTTATCCAACCAACTGCGTATTTTGGGAGCAGAACGGCAGCTATAGGTTAGATAAATTACAGGGTGCCCCTGACAGCCACGCAGATTAGGGTGCACAGTGCTTCCCCTAATACAGACACGCAGTAACACAATGCTTTTCCTTCAAGTCTTCACTGGAGGTCTCAGTCCACTTTTTGTGACACGCCAGATTCCAGTTTTAAGGTCCTCTGGCTCAAGTCCTGATCTTAAATCCTCAAGCCCACCAAGCTTTCTTCACAGGAACAAAAAAAAAAAAAAAATCCAGCAGATTAATTTTTTTTTTATACTCAGCACTGACCTCAACAAGTGCCACAGGGGTGGAAAGGACTTTATATTCTCAAATTTCTGTTCTGGCTTTGGGTCTGGTGCTTTGCCAGTTCCCCAGTCTTCCCCATGACAGGGCCTGGACAATCCAATTTACATGCTTCTCACACAAAGAAGCTCTCTAACAGGAGTCCAGGCCAGGGCAAGAAACTCCCCATCTTTGGCAAACCACAGACCATTCTGCAAAATGAGAATATACCTTCAGGACAGACCAGCAGCTCTGCCAGGTGATTTGTATTTAGGTTTCCTGTCCCTGCTCACCACATCCAGCCTCTGCTCCTGGAGGAGGCAGGTCTTGGAGGAAGCAGTAACCTTGTCCAGCCTGAAAAGGTCTTTCCAAAGGCATTTAACACTGTGCAAAAAATTCCCCAAGCCTGTCTGGGATGGGGCTCATTTCCCCACATATCTGCCCTACTGAAGTCCAAACTAAAAGTCTTTGACAGGGCCTGATGAGAGTCTCTACTGAAAGTCCAGTCTTGTTATTTCAGATCTGAATTTAAATGAGCCAGTTCATGAAAATTTTCCCTAAGCTGTTGGTTGAAATGCGGATGCTGGAATAAGACACTAGCACTAGAAAACTTCAAAGTATTTTCCTCCTCAACATGGGTTGGTTGCTTTTTAACATTACCGAGATGTCCCAACTTTCCATTGATTCCCCTGCTGTAATATTCAAGCTGTATTCAGGGCCACTGAATCTAACTAAATTTAATCCTTTCGTCAAATTTGCCCTGCTCTTCCTGCATCCACTGCCAAGTTTCCAGTCCACTACTGAGTACCTTGGATTGCTCACATGTGCGGTTGCAGAAGTTTGTTTGTTTTTTTTTTTGTGGTGTTGAGTTCAACAGGCACAGTGAGACTACCATGGGGGAAAGCAATTAGCCTAACTCTTTCACGTTCACCCCAAATGTATGGTTCCCTTCTGCTCGTGTTAAGGAGGAATATGAAATATTCCCCTTGAAAAAGGCTCGATTCTGTTATTGTACTGATCTAGACAGAAACTGAGGATGTTAACTACCCCAAAGAAGGAGTTATGAGGCCAAATCAATACAGCGGAAGGATGGATACCCTCAGATGGAAGATATGCGTGGGTATGTAGTAGCCCCACTGCAGAGATAAGAAATAAAGACACATGGGCTGTATCCTGTGAATTTTCTTCACCCATGAAACCACTCCACTTATTAGGTTAAGATCTCAGCTTCCTATAGAAAAAAATTAAAGAGTTTTAACAGTGCTGTCTGCACATATCAGCACAAAAACACCATCAGAAAGGATGTGACTGAACTTCTACGGGACGATCCAGACTTAGAGGTAGTAGCCAAGCTGAATTCCCTAGATGCAGCAGATGGAAGATACCATTTTTTTGCACATACCCTAACTGAAAGCAAAACAGGAAAGAGAAGGTGGCAGCTCAGTGTACCCCAAGAGAGCCATACATACTCCTGCTGGCAGCTCAGTGCTTTACTACTCAGCAAGGTTTATTTTAACAGTGACTCGTAACTTGTTAGATGATACTTGTGCAATAGAGAAGACTTGTGCAACAAACTCTAGCATTCCACCAGGAGAAAAAAAAGTAAAGAAATGCACAGCTGGAGACTTCTAACCCAAATCCAGTTAGTTTTAAAAAGCACTGCAGACTAGCAAGCAGGTAAGCAGCATGCAACTCTAGTAGTAACGATACTCTCGGTCGGATGGAGCTATGCTGGTGGTACACCGCGCTGCACGCCTTAGTCTTCTCCTCTAACTTAAAAATTAAGAAGCCACACAATCCATGAAGTGGTCACAGCGGGGTTCTTTGAGATGCACCACAGCTAAAAATGGTTGCGGGTAGCCAGCTGGTGAGAGAGCTCGGGTACTCACTCCGGCCAGCGATTTCTGGATATTCTCCCTGGCTCTGGCAATGTCGCGTAGGATCGTGCTGGCTCCGTTCTCCTGCAAACAGTGCAGAAAGAACCAAGATTTTTTTTTTAAAAATATGAAACATCGGAAACTGGTCAGGGAAGTTAAAAAAAAAAAAAAATAAAAATAAAGGGGGGAGGGTAAGAATGGGAGAGAGTTCCTTTCAACGATTCAGTAAGTATTGCAAAATCAGCTGCAAAAAGGATTGGTTCTACATCAAGCAGCCCTGATTGCAATCCCTGGTCACATCGGGCCACATGTCCAGAAGATCATCCAGTCAAGAGCTTTTAAATTCTCCATTATTACCCTGAATGGTTTGGACAGCTGCCAGCCAGGCAGAACGTTGGAGTCACTTCAGTACTCCTTAAAGAGCTATCGTTAGGCAGCCCTTTTTGATAGAGTTACCTGTAATTATATTCAAGCAAGAAGTGACAGCCCTAACTGAAGTCTCCTCTCCAGAGAGGTATGACCCAGAGTAGGGCAGCACAAGGGTTTTTTTTTTTTCCCCTCCATGCTCCTGCTGCCATGCCCTAGCCTGGATTTGAAGATTCCCCCCTCCTAGGGCACAAATGCAGTTTTTCCACGATCCATTCACCCCTTGCCTCTCCCTGACTGCAACCCCACAAGCAAGATTTGAGACATGAAACTGCCCACAAGCCCCAAACCCCACGTCAAATAGACCACAGAAGAGCAACAGCCTGGACACGTTCAGGTGGATACCGCTTCCCGGTTGCAGGAAGGTTTTAATGAGCATGAATCTTTATCCTTAGCAGCGAAGTGGCTGCTAACCTGCTGCAGAAACTCCCCCAGAGCCTTCACACCACCTCTCAAAGGCAGAACTTCTTCCCTGGAAGCTCCTTATGTGGCATGAAATAGTCTAACTGTTCTTTTAAGAGCACTGCAGAGGTTTGCACTTTTACACCTACTTCAAGCGCTTATCTACAGCTCCTAATTTTTATGCACATGTCCTAGGTGCTGTGCCATCACTATTCTAGCACGGGCAGCAGGAACAGACAGAGCATGCCTAGAAGCTATTCCTTAAGCAAAAAGCTTCCCCTTAAACACTTGCAAGACAGCCATTTAAAACCAAGCAGCTTTCTACAGGACCAACCAAATGCATAAGCAGTTAACGGCTCTTTACATGGCAGGAAGAGGTTACAATGGCTCTGTACCTTTAAATAGTAGTAACTTTGGGGTAATATCTAAAAGCTTGAACAACTTCAGCTCAGGTGTGCTGCAGCAGCACCATGCTTCCCCCCTCCACCTCCTCCCCACAACTCACCAGTACTGGGATGCAGTCTTCTGCAGGAGCACACTGAATATTTCAAGGGGTACAAAGAGGGGAACAGTTCCTTGGTCTCTTTGGAGCCATGGTGCCCTCTCTTCAAACATTATGTCATATATACCCAATATATCTCTTGCCAAGGAAAGCTTAGCTGCTCCAAAATGACAGCAAAACAGCATCTTCCCTGGTTGAAATGGGGACAGGGCAATTCTTTGCACAGCATACCGCCCAGCCCAGTCAAGAGAATCGCAGCTCTCGGGGATGACAGCTCAAAGTGTGCCCCTGGTAGATGACAGATAGCATCCATGCCCTGCCACAGCAGCCTGAAAAGATTAACTGCTGCAACCTGTAACCGGTTTGCCTGGTGTTACGAGGGTATTTCATCTCCCAGTATGCTGGTTATATGGGAGAAATTCTTCCCAGGCCACAGAAGATGGTCTCTCAAAAGGGGTCATGAACTGGGGGTAGGCTTAGGGAGCCCCAGAGAAGACACTCACGCTTGGAAAAAGCAGCACCAAGAGTGGAAATAATACAAAAGCGCACATCCAGGTGGATTGTGTCCTTTTCCCTGCTCTGTACTAGCTCTTAAAGCACGGACACTCTGCTAAATCCCATCTGAGAACAAGTATTACCTGCTGGTGTGAAGAGCTGCCCACAGGCCCGTTCATCTGCTCGTAGTATCTTCTCTCAGCATCATCATACTTGTATTTCTCAAACCAGACCTTGTCATGGAGAAAGTAGTCAACTGCCATTTTTCTGCAGAAAGGAAAGCAAACAAACCCAAAGTGAGTTCCTAAAAGGACTTAAGGTTAGCGGCTTGCAACGAGCTTGTCAAAAGAGCATTTTCTTCCCCCAGAGAGCTGTGCCAGCAGCTCTCTGCTTGGCAGTTTCCCCTCGGGTGGAAAGCTTTAAGTAAACAGGATCCTATTAAGAAAACAGGGCAGCCTAATCACCCACCCATCTGCCTGGCCTGACCTGCATTTAGTGGCAGAACACTGAGTGGGGACAGAATAAAATCAGCTGATCTGTACCTTCTTCCACAAAAAAAGCTTTCAGAGCAGGATTTTCTAGATCATGCTAGACACGTGGTAATCTGCTGCTAAAATACCTTGTGTACGAGAATCGAAAAGGGAGAATGCTTTTAATTCTTAGGATGCCTGGCCATGGGGAAACCAAAGACTGAAGAATACACAACTCCAAGCAGGACATGCCACACTACAGCGTGCCAACGAGGGAGCGCTCTGTGTGTGACAGGCAACTCCTGACATTACAGCTCACAAATTTCAACGCCTTTCAGCCTTCCTTGAACACAACTGTCTTAGGCTAGAGACCTGGTCGTGCCACACTTCAGGAGGTGCACCCCTGAATCCTCCTGTAAGGAACAGCCCGGCACAGCATCCTGTCTGACAGCAACCAGCCTCCAGGAATCCAGATACACACACGATTTACAATGGCACCACAGACGTGCCCTTCTGGAAGCTGCTGCAACTGTTTGGAAATTAAAATCATCAGCAATGCAAGACTTGTAAGGGACAGACACCTACCACTACACAGAGGAACAGCAGAAAACACCCTAACGCTGCTGTGAAATGGTGTTATTTTTCCCCAGTGCAGCAGCTTCCAAAAGTTGTTTCATTTTGTAACTTGAAGATAAGAGGATGCGCCCGTATTTCAAGCCAGGGGACAGCTACAGAACCAGCATCAATTTGAGGAGTGGTGAAAGCAGGGCTAGAACGTCGCAACGAAACCACACCATCACCAGGTTCCACCACACAACGCGGGGAGAGCAACTAATAGCAACCCACAAACCCTTTTCTTATCAGCTCAACCCCCCCCCAGCTCTCCAGTAAAACACTTCCACGGAAGCCAACAGATGAATCTTTTGTAAAACAAGCACTCTTCTCATCTACCCGTTCAGAAGAGACCAGAGGCCACCACACCATACAGGTCCTCTACACTGAAGCCATTCCCAGCGCTCCAACCTCCAACCAAGACCCTGCTTGAGCTGCCAACCAGTACTATTAAAAGAGAATCCCAGTTACAGACAAACTGATGCCACGTATTTTACAAGGACACATGGACTTTCCTGGGGAAGGGTGAAAGGCACGACCAAGTATCTAGTTCTGTCCAACTAAAGAGAAAATTATCCCAAACAGGACAGGGTGCATGCAAGGCATATGCGCTCTAAAACTTGTCTGTAATCCCCTATACCACTTGTTGTGAAGATCTTAAAACCTTTACAATAAAATCCTAACAGATTCCAAGGATCAGAAGCGACAGAAATAAGGCTGGATGCTCCAAGAGCCTTTTCTCCAAGAACATCAGTCTCTACTTTAGCATTGCAAAATAACATTTAAGCACTGGCCTTTGGACAGGCTCCCAGGGCGTTAGAGCCCCCGTGCAACGCTTCAGGGTTCAGCCAGTCATATATAAAAGCACATATGTAACACAGCAAGCATGGTATGATACTGCACCTCATTCAGGACTTTAAAAATGAACTCCTCCTGCCCAGCCCAGCTACATACAAGCACATCAAACAAGCTGTCATCCAGCCAGTCTTGTCCCCAAATTAACAGCAGCTTCCAGACCAAACGGTCTAAGAAATCAGAAAGGCAACTTTCTCCCGCAATGGAGCGAACACAGCACGTGCCAGACTGGTGCCCTAAATTACACTTCGCGGTCGTCCCCAAGCCTTCGTCAAGCTGGATGCGATGCTCAAATGCAGTCATGCCTTGCCCAGAGCTCAGCGACCAGCTTACGTGCTCTGCCAGAGAATTGGGGATAACCGCTTCTCTGAAGGCCCTTCCGGCACTTTAACAGAAACACACAACAAATAAGCACTGCTTTAATTTCTCAAACTCAAAGACAGTAACACTGCATGCTCTGCCATCTCAGCAGGCCTGTTTAAAACGCGGGATTGCTCCCTCCCAAGTTCTCACTTTTATGGCTTTTTGTTTGCAATAGGGATACAAAAAGAGGCACGGCTCCGGGCTTCCCCCATGTGAAGAGGGGGGGTCAAACCTTAGCTCACTTCCCAACCCTAATTTGAAACCCTTAACCCTTGGCACCACACAAATACCACCTTTAGCCACCAGCATTCACCAGAAGGGGGGTTCCTTGAAGGAGTTTCCCCCCAGTTACCCCCCCCCACAAACAGGTTCTCTGGCTCAGGAGCAGCACCTCCCTACAACAGCGCTCAGCCTGCAGACACAAAGAACTCCCATCTTCTTATACATGCAAATTCTTTCAGCTCAATCCTGACCCAGCAGTTTTGCACGTGCGAGTGTTACCCCAGAATAAACTTCTCCTACTTCGTTTCTGGCGCAGGTACGCTCGGAGGATAAGCAGCTGGTTGGGAGGGTTCTACTACTGCGGGTTCCTGCATCCCCGTGCTCTCTCCCGTTCCTGACATTTTCAGAGCCTCGGCTGCGTAGTATCGTGACTCAGCACTGTCGTACGTTGGCTTATGAAGCCACACAGTTTCACTGTCCTCATGCAGAAAAAAGCAGGTAGGCGGAGGTTGCTCAGCGTCGCTGGGAAGCGGAGAGTCGGTGGCCATCTCCGTGTGTCTGACAGCCGTTTGCTTCCCAGCACGGTGGGTCTTCAACGCTCCGGGGCCGCCGCGTTGCTGCTGTCTGACTTTACCCGACGGATGGCCGTCAAACATGTTCTCGTAGAAGCTCTTCTCGGCATCATCATAAAGGGGTTTCTCTAACCACACCTCCGACATGAGAGCCTGCAAGCTTGAAATCTGCGGCTTACCGTTTACTGTCTGGTGTACGGAGCCAAGCAAACCGGTAACAAGGGAAGCAGCGGAATCAGCGACGACATCTGGAGCTAAGCTTGGCGTAGCAGGAGTAGGCAGGGCTGTAACGTAGCCCTCATCCGGCGTCCTCAGCCCCACGTTGCCAGCACTTGACCGCACAGACGGGATGGCTAGGACATTTGGAGGAACAAAGAACTGAGATTTTTCAATAAACACCTCCTCGGCCTTATCAAAGTCAAGCTTGTTGACCCAGACGCCCTGAACAACGTGGTGACAGGCGGACAGACTACCATGGGAGCAGGACAGGGCTGCTGAAAGCATCCTTGGCTTGGGGACATCTTGGACAGCTTTTGACCTGGCCGCTAAAGGGGATTGCTCAGCAGTTAGTGGAGCCTCGGGTGCCTCCTGGTTCTGACAATCCACCATTCTTTTCCTGTACACATTCTCAGCGTGATCATAGAGGGGCTTGTCAAACCACACATGGTCAGATACCAAACCAGCCAGAATAGAGTCTAACTTGGCGGCCGCGTTTTTGGGTTTCGGAGAACGCTTCCGTTTCCTCTGCTTCTTTCCATTCCTTGCTCTCTTCAGGTCTCCCTTGAACTCACTTTCAACAGAGTCATCGTTGCAGACTCCGTTTACAGCCTCTACCTCCTGGCACTCCTCCGGGGCCGCAGCAGCCAGCATCGCTTCTCTTTCGTAATGCAGTCTCTCTGCTTCATCATATTTGTGCTTGTCTACCCACACTTTTTCTACTGGGCAGGGAGGCTTCCTTGTCCTCATCTTCCAAAGAGTGGCAGCATTAAAAGATAAGCACAACAATGTAGTTGCAGCAAAACTAAATAAAGCAAGGGCATGCATCAGACTTCAGTAATTTCTTAAGTAATAGCTTTTGACACTCTTCTATCATGCCATTATTAATCATAGTAAAGAGCCTAAGCATTTAGTTCCATTTTTCCTTTGTTACAAATTTTATCTCAAAGAAAATAAACTGCCTAAACGCATCCAGTTGCTTTAGTCAGAATAACCTTCCTCCTAAAATGCTTCTGCTGTTCTGACAAGTATTCTGCACATTACTATTTAAGAATAAAGGCACTGGCTGGAAGCACTTCAAATTTCACTTCTGAAAACAACTGGCGGGGAAAAAAACAATGAGGTTTTGTTCAAATCCCTGGTAATGTATCAGGTATTATTCCAAGTTAATAGATCAGTCCTTAATTACTTGTTAAGTATTCTTAACTAAGCACTGTTTTGGGAAGACAGACTAGGATGCCGCAATCCTTGAGTATCTTTAGAGGTCACTGCTTACACCTACTTGTGTTTTGCTCCTAGGAAGCCGGCAGAGGGAGCTGACTGAAAAAATATGTCTCTCTTTGGTGTAAAAGCCCAGTTACTGGCAAATTAAAATTGACCAAGAGTCGGAGATCTCACGACTAATTTAGCTTGCCAAAAAGATCTATTAAAATGAAAAATATTGCATCTGCTTCGTGTTTTCCTGCCCTAGGCACACTTTACTACAGGAAAAAGAAAATCAAGCAGCTCCTAGCATGTGTAGACTATTGGAAGACGTATAGGAAACACCTTTCCAAGCACAGAATTTACTGTACTGCTCAAATATCTAGTGAGTACATAACTACCTCTCTGCCAAACACTACATGGTCAGATCCCTAGAGTTAAAAAAAAAAAAAAAAAAGGGTCGAAAATGAAATACCTGTAAGCCAGCTCTCTCTTTAGCTACCAACAGCAGCAAGTTTTACAGCTACAAATTTATCTGTGACACATTGCCAAATAAAATTCACATACAGCTGAAATACCATCCAGACTTCAGTTGATGGCTTGCAGTTCCAACAGTTCCTGGAAGATTTTACAAGCCTTAAGTCCAGTGCTTGACAGACCAGTAAAAACAATAAACCATTATTGCAAGTATTTTTTTTTTTTGCCTTTTTAAACTTTCAATTCAAATTTATATAGTTTAAAGTATTAATGTAATATGATATTTCAATTATAAAAATTGCTAGGAAAAGCAAACGTAGATCTTTCTTTTTCTTACTGGAGTTGTGAAACTGGTCTTTCACCAGCTGCTGAAAACACTGTGATACAGCTAAAACCACTTAAAAATATCTAAATTGAAACTTATTTTGAAGTCATTATTTTACACTATTCTCCTGCATTTTACACCAGTTATGGAGCAATAAAACACTATTTAGGACAGACAACTAGAAACAAACTAGTGCTTTGAATAAACATTAATGTACTTGTTAATATCAACTCCAAAAACACCCCGGTCTGAAGCACAGGCACTGCAAGGTGGAAGCAATGCTACGAGCAAGCAGTAACTCAGGTTTGCTCGTCAGGATAAGCTCTGCTACGACTGCTTCCACAGCATTCTCCTCAAGCAGTGAAAAATGACATCATGTACATTACGCGTACAGAAGGCAGGCCAGTGCCACTGAAGAGTCTGCACAAGTTATTCTGAGGTACACGTTCCTGCTGTAAAAAAAAAATCATCTCTGAGGCAGCTTCATATTCCTGATCATCTCAGCTGGTGGACAAATAATTTTAAATATTTTTATATTCTTCAGTAGCAAACAGCATCCCCCTTAAAAAAATAATCTTTACCAGGAGATGTCAGTTTAAATGGGATTCTTGGAGGGTAACATCAAAAGGAGGCAACGTCTGCTAGAGTGATACCTGGATTTCAGTCACTTGGCAGACTGGAAAAGGCTTAAACAACGCAAATTAGAAGCGTTGTGCACAAAGGCCCTGCTTTGCAGTGCACACATTCTAAACTAGCGGCCATCCAGATCTAGTGTAGCAACCTGTCAGCACAAAATCCATGGGAAAAGCAAAATGTACAACTGAAACCGCACAGGAAGGACAATATGTTTGAATTTTTAGGTTTCTTAGGTCGATAAGGACTCCTAAACACAACCTCGGATTTCTGCATTTGCCTGGTATGTTCTGCTTGGCTCTACATTCATATTCATTTGAGTTATCATAGGGGAAAAAAAAAAAAAATCATACTTATAGCCTTCAAGAAGATACTTTATTGAGAATACTTCATTAACCCAATGCAGGTGTTCTACTCAGAGGTTACAACTTAAAACTATTTCAGGAAGAACCTCTAGTGGGTGTAAAGAGAAACCCAGACGTGACTCAATACAGCACAAACTGTCACACCTTTAAATATTTAATTTGCATTACAGCCATTAGCTTTTCCTACAGAAAGAGCATGACCATTTGAGAAAAACAAAACCAAAATTTGAAGGGGTTTTTGTTTGTTTGTTTTGGGGTTGGTTGTTTGATTTTTTGTGTGGTTTGTGGTTTGTTTTCTTTAAGTGATTTTGCTCAAGGCCTTAAGCGAACAGCTTCAATCACTGGAGCTGCAGCCCCCATGACGCTCATCTTAAGGGTGAGGTGCCTTACTGAGGACTTCAATTATCATTAGGTTCTCTCAAATCGAAGGACTGTCTTGAATCAGTGAGGCAGAGCTGAATTTAATAAACAAACCTGTAAAAATACACTTATTTTCAGTGGAAATCAGAAAACTGTGCAATCATCTGTCTAGTAAGTATCAGATCAGTGCCTATATTCCCCTGATTTTCCAGAAAGTGCAAAAAAACATATGACAACTAGAAGTACTTACTTTTTTAGCTCCTATGATAGCATTAAGAAAAAAGATAAAGTTAGAGAAAGTTTCAAGTTCTAGAGATGCAGCAAGGACACAGAATGACAAAAGCCAAATATATTATCGTATAGTTAACTTCCCCCATACATAATACATTTAATTAAACTTACTGCGGGTTTACTCTCCAGAACTACATTATCTTCATGAACCAACACCACAGACACTCAGTTACTTTTCAATAACAAGCAATGAAAACGTACAGATCCAACAGGATCCACCCATCATGACAGGGAACCAGCCAGAGAAACTCCCAACCTGCCCTACCAATACTGTCAGCTGGTGCAAAAGCGAAGCTCAGGTCCTCCAGTTTCAGATAACTAAACACCAAGAGCAAATACTTTTTAACAACCCTGAAATTGTAACAATTATAATGTCAAATAATGAATTCACATGATTGTAGCTATTTCTACCAGAAGCTGGCAATCTGTACGACATTCTATGAATGAGATCGAAATAAAACGCTAGCACCAGCACTCAGCCTACTAATTTTTCAGGAAAAGGATCAACACAACATGTGAAAGCTTACAGTAGAATTTAAGACTTACACAGAGATGTACCTATGAGGCTACACCTACAAAGCCTGAGGAGACACAGCTTCTCATGTCACCAATTCAACATTAAGTCTAAAAAGGGTATTTCTGCAAAAAACCACAAATCCCCAAGCCAAAGTGACCACAAATGTTCCCCATCAAATCCGCCTCACAGGAAATCAAGTGTTTTTACAAAGATTATTATCAGGGAAAATGTTTGTCAAGGGACTTTACAAGTGGCAATACCATTTTCCAAAAATGAGTCCAAGATACTTGCAACACCTATTTGTTTCCATGAGGGGCTAAACCTTAGGTTTAGTTATGATAAAGACCAGATGCTCAATGAAGTAAAGTTTACAAACACAAGCAAAAGTTGAGGAAAAAATAAAAAAAAAAAAGTCATTTCTACTCTGTGGTCGTAAGTTTTCCCAGAGGTTCCTGGGATAAAACATATATGAGGATTTTAATTACACAAACCATCACCTGAGCTGCTGCAGCCAGCCTGATAAGATGAGCTGCAGACCATTGATACCAGACCAGAGCACTACCAGTTCTCCCAGCATACAAATTTATTGCAGACAAGACAAGAACTCACAATCCTACTTCAATCAAGTCTGCTAAATCACCATACGACGAGTGAAGGGAGTATACTTGATCTGACAAAGTCTGCGGGGGCAAATTCACCTCTTCAGAGGTTCTGGAAGAAATTTAAATTGACTTGGACTTCTTAAGAGCCTGCACCACATCACACTGCTCACAGTCAGGTTAAGCTTTAGCACCGCATCAAACCACAGTCTGTGCCATCATTTCAATGCTTCCCACCTGGTATTCCCACCTGCCCATTTCACCTCCTCAAAGTTTCACAATTAAAAGAATATGCTATAGTTTTATATAAACACACACCACTGGCAAAAATCAGAGCACAGAAAGTAGAGCTGAATTAGAGAACCATCAGTCTGCACTTAAAGAGAAGCCAGGAAGCATGAACAGTTATGTCTCCCCCTCAAACCACTCCTAAGACCACATTCATCTGCTGCATAGTATCATTTTTCAGAAGTCAGGCAGTTTTTCCTTTAACGAGCGTTTTTTTAGCACGGAGATAAATTAATACTTTGAGACAGAGGCAGTAAACTTTTTACAAAGTGTTTAAGAAAACACTAATCCGTGAGTGGAGTAGAAAAATGTAAGAAATGTAGGAAAATGCATACACCAGAGACTGGCTCCTCTCTACCCAGGACAATTTTGCTTTTCCAGTGACAGTGCAGACAATCTATTGGGTGTTTTACAAGGCATGAAACCACCAGAAAGGCAAATGTTGTTATGAATCATTATTGTGCCAAATTATCAAATACTCCCAAGTAACAAAAAACATCACAGGTCAATGTTTAGGCCTCCCACACATCGTTAAAGAGGGCTTACAAAAACCTGAAAGAATTTTTAATCATAGCTACGGCTTCAGAGCTTGGGGCTTGCTGTTGTCTTGTCACCACATCCTGGGTATTTCAAGCCAGAACAAATCTGTGCTGTACTTCCAGCGCTGCAGGGAAACGCATAAAGTTAAAAATAGGCAATGAAAAGGTCTCTATTGTTGTTCTGTAAATCCAAAATAGGCTTTGGACTTCAGCTATTGGGCTGCATTATCCCCTTAAGTCTAGCTACTTTCTAAAAAGTCAGCAAAACAAAAACGTACAAGACATTACTCTAAGGCTATAGCCAAAAAAAGAAAGTTAAATCCACTCCATTTATTGGTTTAATGAAAGCCACACTTTCTCTTCTATCCATGAGAAAGTTACATTCCTTCTGAATTGAGAGGCCTATAAATGTGGGGTTTTGGAGGCAGTCAGGTTATCAATGTGTTTGTGTCAGCCTCCCAGAAATGTAAATTCTATCTTGCCTTGCACAGTTTCTTGTACTGGAACTGAACTGCAATTTTAATCTCAGCTGTGTGCCAGGCTGATCTGTCAGCTCCCAACAAGGCACAGCAAGTCAGGCAGCACCATGATTTGAAAGCAGCTCTCCCAGAAATAACAGTTTGATGCGGCTTAAAATATTTCCAGTAGCCTTGGAAAAATATCTTTAGATGAGCAAGAGCAGCAAATCTTATCTGTCACTGATTTCTGGAGGGATGTGACAGCTGTTTTCTGCAAGCCATAACCAAGAGTGCAAGATTACAGTTGCAGTTCAACTCCCTTCTTCAGAAATGGCATCAAAACAGGCATCAGGTGGCACCTGGGGACACAGGATGATGGAGACACAGGGCAGCTCGCTGTGCTTTCACCCCCAAAACAACCCCCATGGACTTAGCCACAAAGGTTAGGCAGGAAAATCCTGATTTCTGCAGGTTCCAGCAGCAACCAAGCCAACACCAGCCGCTCTTCCCCCAGCCCAGCACTGACAGGTTCTCACTACAGGAGATTCTATCCCAATCCTCCATCTGCGTATTTGCTTACGTGCCTTGGCACAGCTGATTCCGACCAGGCCAACATGGTTATAAATTTAGTGCTCTTGTCCTATCACATGTCACACCACCCTCCCCACCAGAAGCTCCTGAACATTCATCCCAACAGCAGCTGGAAAAATAAATTCCAGAAAATCCAGAAAGGGCCCATTTGATGTCAGAGACAGAGCAGAGAGAAGAGAAGGTCCACAGGCACCAGCCTGTTCCTTTCTACAGCCTCAGACCGACACCTGAGCTTTGCCACGCTCAAGACATCTGCACTGCCCACGCCGTCCTAGTGAAATGCTTTTCCTCTTCCCAAAACTGCTACTGCTGCAGTACGAGCCATTGCAGCTAAGAATTTATTTAGGCACCGGTTAGACACAGCTGCCTCGTACCTACCTGCTCAACAGCAAAGGAAAGGCAAGTATCAACCTTGCCCCACCTCCTGCTTTTTTCTTTTTGGTGATTCAGAGTTAAAAGAACCGAGACTGGTTTCACACCAAAGGGTCTGATGGCCTCTTGTAGCTGAAGGGAGCAAATCCACTCCCTCCTCAGCACTGGCACTGAGTCAATGCAGGCAGCTAAAGCAAAAGAAAATAGGAACGCTTGTGCAGTATTGCTCTTCTGCTGGTTTCACTCCCTAAATTTGCTCTCCCCCGACTCACCAGCAGCAGAGACGGTGGCTCAAAGCAGCAGGAGACAGTGGGCTGAGGGACTGCCTTCATCACCTTTGCTATAACACAAAGCTGCACACTAACCTTTAGCCAGGGAAACGACAACGACTCCCAACCTTCATCACCTAAAAACACGACTCTTCGCTCCAAGCAAGAGATAAGCAAGGACATGGGAAATCAGCAGTAGGGAAAGATGGGAAGTCAGCTTCACGAGCAAAAGCAAAGTAGTTGAAAATAAACAGCTTGGGTGAAGAGAAAAAAGGCATACCTGCAAGGTCAGGGAGAAAGAGGGCACACCTAGAAAAGGAGAGGAAAGAATTACAGCTATACGGCCAAGCAAAGTTATTTTCTCCTCCATAGGGAGCACAACTGGACTGTGAACATCGGATTACAATCAATTCCAAAACACCAGTGAGCCGGACATGAAAGAACAATTCCATATTGATTTCAGCAAACACCAGGAGGGGAGGAATGACAGACCGTAGCAGCCTCAGCAACTTTAGCTACCGCTGTAATCCTTCACAAACCCCCAGAGAGCACGTTAGCAGCCTCCGCACAACCACTCCTCCCCAGCTCTGTCCATTCCCCAGATACAGTTTTGAAACGGATACCTCCTGACTGAGCTGTTGCTGAAACAAAAAGGAAAAGGAGAAAGAGCAGGACGAGCTGTCGGAGGCACCACCAAGGTTCTAGAAGGGTTGGGCACACCAGGATGGAGAGGGGAGATGAGCAGAACCCAGATGCACCTACAGAGCAAGGGCAGGACAAGGTGGGGAAATCTGACAATAAAGGGCTCCCAGCTCCACAGCAAGCTGGGAGAGGCAGCTAAGGGTGCTGGGCCATGGGCTGGATCAGGCTGCTGCTTCAGTTACACAAAGCTGCCAGCTGCTCTGTGCCAGGACAGGGCAGCAGCTCCAGTTTCCCTCCGCAGGTGACTCAACAAGAAACCTTTGCCAAGGTAAGGAATGGGGAAAAGTGCAGACCTCCAAGGAACTCAGAGCTGCTGGGGACAGGGGGGTGCCCTAAACTCTCCTCTCCACCAGGGCAGAAATCACACTGACCCCGAGACTGGAAGGGGTGAGGCTCCATGTAGCAGGGCTATCCCCACAACCAGCAACTCAAAAGAGAAGTAGCACATCTTCCTCCCAAAAAGTGGACAGGTTTAGGGAGACCTCTAGCACCCAGCCTTTACACCCGTAACGGGGTACTCTTGCAACCAGCTACTTAGAGCAACCACCTCACAGAGATGGGAGAAGCCTACGAGCCCCCTTCCCTAGACCTGGGAGGGGAAAAGAGCTTTCCCAGGTAACAAGGGGCCCCCCACATCCTCTCTTCTTGGGGTGTGAAGGGAGAAGTGACCCCATGGGGAACGATGGGGCCTCCCACAACCCCCCTTCCAAGACCTATATTAAGGTGAAAAGGACCTAAAAGATTGTGGGGGGCGTGCCACCCCACTAATCCCTGAGTCCTTTGAGCGGGGAAAAATAATCTTAAAGAGCAAGGGCACCTTAAGCCCTCTCCCTCAGGACTCTGGAGGGGAAAGGATCCCAGAGATAATGGGGGGGGAAATCACCTCCATTCCCGAGGCCATGAAGAGGAAGGGACCACACAGACGATGGTGAAACCCCACGACCTCTCCTCCCTGAAAACTATAATGGGGAAGAGACTCCCACATAAAGCGAGGATCCCCCACAACTTCCCCCCCCTTCCCACCACGGCGAGGGAGGCGGCTTCACCCGCAGCGAGGAATCCCCCCAAACCCCCCTTTGCTTGGCCCAGAAGCTGGAAAAGACCCCACAGATAACACGGGGGTGATCACAACCTCCTTCCCGCGGACTGTGAGAGGAGAAAGGGACCCCACGGATGGTCGGGAGCCCCCACAATCCCTTCTCCCGGCCCCCGAGAAGGAAAGAACCCCACAGATCATGAGGGGCTCCCACACCACCACCCGCACACATACACACGCGCAGCTGCAGAAGGAATAAAGGATCCTAGAATCCCCCATTAGCAAGGGGGATGTGGAAAAAGCCCACGGAGCGGGTGAAGAGGAGGGGAGGCTGCACTCACCGGCAGCGCTGGGCCTGGGCAGCCCACGGGCGGCTCCGCTCGCCACGGCCTCCACAAGGCAAAGGGACGCAGCGGGCGGTGCGCGGGGGGTTGTGGGGGCAGCACGGACCACGCGCGGGAGGGGGGGGGGGCGGGGGAGGAAAACCGGCTGCTGGGAGGGAGACAACGCTCCGCACTCACAGGCGCCGACCCCCTCCCCCTTTCTCAGACCCACGGTGGAACAGCCGGGAAGGGCGGGAAGCAAGAAGGAGAGGGGGAACGAGGAGGCGCTCCCCCCCCCCCCTCTCGCTGAGTGGTACAACCCAGAGGCGGTGGCGGAGCTGCGGGGAAGAAACCAAGCGGGCAAGAAGGAGGGGGGGGGAGGAGCGGCGCAACTATGGAGGGAGGGGGGGCGCGCATGCGCGCTGCGCTCCGCCCCGCCCCACCGGCCGGCTCGGGGCCGGAGCGGAGACAAAGGCACCGCGCCCCCCCCCCCCCCCACCTCCCCCTAACTCCCCGGTTATAACGCGCGCCCCCCCCCCCCCCCCCCCCCCTTTTCTTCTTCTCGGTACCGCGCCGGCTCATGGCTGCGGGGGCGGCTCCATGCCCGGGGGGGAGCCGGAGGCGGGTGGGGGGCCGGCCGGTATGGCGGGAGGGCGGCGGGGCGGTGGCAGCGCCGCCGGGGGGATGTCGATGAAGATGGCGCTGCGACGAGCCTACTCCATCAAGGACAAGCTGCAGGCCATCGAGCGGGTGAAGAAGGGCGAGCGCCAGGCGTCGGTGTGCCGGGCTTTCGGGGTGCCGGGAGGGACGCTGAGGGGCTGGCTGAAGGACGAAGCCAAGCTGCGGTGGTTCCTGGAGCAGCTGGGGGGTGAGGTGGGCACCCAACGCAAGAAGATGCGCTTGGCCAACGAGGAGGAGATCGACCGCGCCGTCTACGCCTGGTTCCTCGCCCTCCGCCAGCACGGCGTCCCCCTCTCCGGGCCCCTCATCCAAGCCCAAGCTGAGGCTTTCGCCCGGCAGATCTACGGTCCCGAGTGTACCTTCAAAGCCAGCCACGGTTGGTTTTGGCGCTGGCAGAAGCGCCACGGCATCTCCAGTCAACGGATCTACGGCGAGGGCGGCCTCCCCGCCGAGCCCGAGCGGGCTCCCGCCGCCTGCCCGGAGGTTCTCCCCGTGCCGGCTGCCGACGCTGGGGGTTACGGCGACGAGCAGATCTACAACGCCAACGTCACCGGGCTCTACTGGAAGCTGCTGCCGGGGCAAACCGGTGGGGCGATGGCGGCGCGGCGGCGGCCTGCTCCCCGCGAGCGGGTCACCGTGCTCCTGGCTGCCAACTTGACCGGCTCCCATAAGCTCAAGCCGCTGGTGGTCGGGGGTCTCCGCGATCCCCCCAGCCTCCGCCATCACAACCAGGACAAATTCCCCGCTTGCTACCGCTACAGCCCAGAGGCCAGGCTGGGGCCGGCTCTCCTCCGCTCTTGGTTCTTTGAGGATTTCGTGCCAGGCGTCAAACGCTACCTGCGCCGCAGCTGCCTGCAGCAGAAGGCCGTGCTGCTGCTCAGCTCCCCGCCACCCGTCTCTGGGACGGGCTCCGAGGAGTCCCCCCCACTGCAGACACCCGACGGCTCCATCCGTGCCCTCTTCCTCTCCAAGGGCCCCGCCGGGAGCGGTTCGGCTGGAGGGGGAGGCCGAATCCCGGCCCCACTGGAGCAAGGGGTGGTGTCCGCCTTCAAGCAGCTCTACAAGCGGGAACTGCTGCGCCTGGCCGTCTCGTGCGCGGCCGGCGGCAGCGGCTCGGGTGGCCCCGTGGACTTTGTGAGGTCCTTCCTCCTCAAGGACATGCTGTACCTGGCCGGCCTCTCCTGGGACCTCATCCCCCCCGGCTCCATCGAAAAGTGCTGGCTGCTGGGGCTGCGCGCCGCCTTCGAGCCCCAGCCCGGGGAGGAAGAGCACGGAGACCCCCCGCGTGGGGAGGAAGGCGGCGGGGACGGCAAAGTCTTTAGCGACCTGACTCACCTGGCCGCCTTGGCCTACAAGCGGTTGGCTCCCGAGGAGGTGGCCGACTGGTTGCACTTGGATGACGTGGCCCCAGGGACGGAGGAGGACGATGGGGAAGAGGACGCTGAGGAGGGAGGCCCCGGAGGCTGCGGGATGGAGGAGGAGGAGGAGGAGGAGGAGGAGGAGGAGGAGGAGGCAGCTGCCGGAGATGGAGGTGGCAGAAGGGGTGGGGAAGGAGGGGACGCCTTGCTGCCCACGGCTCGCGAAGCCATCAAAGGTCTGGAGACGGCGCTGCGCTGGCTGGAGGGTCAGGACCCCCGGCAAGTGGGGCCGCTCAAGCTGGTGCAGCTCCGCTCCCTCATCAGCATGGCCCAGCGGCTGCACCGCGGCGGCAGCCCCGGCTCCTAGGGCAGGCCGACCCGCGACCTCTCGGCTACCAACCGCCCCGCTCGGGCTGGGGACACCCCAGTTCTCCCAGCGAGGCTGGCGGTGGAGGTGCCAGCTCCCCTCAGCTTTCCGTCACGGGCAGCCCCTGGGGCGCAGGGGGCCCAACCGCCTCCGGGTTACCACGGCGAAGACAGGGGATACAATTTAGGGCTAACGGGGTTGTTTTGGTTTTTTGTTTTTTTTTTTTTTTTTGGTGCGACAAGCCCCTCCGTATGTTGCGGATTTGAGGGTTGTTCCTCACCCTAAATATATTTAGGAGGTGCTATTTTTTTAAATCCCACGAGACTGAGTGGCCCCCTGGTCACTGGCACCCCTAGAAGAGGGTGGGTGCCCCCCACGCTACCCGTTTCCCCCCCCGACCCCGTGGGGAGGAGGGGTGAGGGAGGGACCTGTTCGGCATCACCGCGAGGAGCCGGGATGATGGGGGGAAGCGACACCAATTCCCCACGTCTCGGAGCAGGGCTGAGGTGGGCGCATCTGGCTGGACAGGGATCGCTCTTGGGGTGCTGAGGAGCAAACGTCCCGCCCTGGAAGAGGCTGGTGACGCCCTTCCCCCTGCCGAAACGGCGTCCTGTTAAAACGGGGAGGTTTGGGGCTGGTTTAAGACAACTTTTTTCATGCACTGGATTGGGACGGGGACACTTGGGTGGCATCTGAGAAACCGCGGCTGCCCGGAGAGGGCCACCTCCATCATTCCCGTGACAGCCCCGCACCTGGGAACGCCCAGGCTACGGAGACCTGCTGAAACAGGTACCGTCATCCGAGCATCCTCGCGAAGCCGAAGGCTCCGGGGATGAGGGTTGAGGTGCCGGCGGGGCGGCTGGGGCTGGAAAATGCAGCTGCCGGCGTGATGCGCGTCACGAGTTGAGACAGGAGCCGGGGTCGGGGGGGGGCTCCCAGCACTGCCTTAAAATACCGGAGGCATCAGAGATGAATTTAGCAGCTCTTGACCTGATTTGGATTAAATTTTCGCCTGCTTAGCCAAATTATTGAAAGGGGGGAAAGGAAAAAACAAACAAACAAACAAAAAAAAAAACAGTGCCGCTGTGCCCCGTGTCGGCAGACGGGGTGGGTGTTTTTACTTGTCGGGTCTTTGTCTCATAACTTCAGAGTTTATGAAAATTAAATGGATTTTTATTCGCACTTTGGGGTTGTGTTCTGTAAAGAGTCACGCGGAGCCATCCCAGCAGAGGGGAGGGTGGCAAAAGGGGAACCTCCTTGCGGTTGTGACCTCGGTGTGGTCTCCTCCATCGTGTTCCCCACCTCTCCGCAGCCAGTTTAACGCATCAGGATCAGGCAGGCGCCCAAATTGCTCCCCAAATTGAGTTTTTTACTTCATTAGTAGGATAAACAACTCTGCCAGGGAATTTAGGGACCAGCAAGAAAAAAAAAAAAAAAAAACAACACACAAAGTCAAATTTCAATCTGAAGTTTGTCCTTTCAAATCATGGAACTCCACTGTAGAACATTGAATATAGGTCAAGAAAAGCTTTGGTTTAGGGGAGAAATACACTTTTTTTTTTTTTCCCCCACAAACCTAACCAACCTCAGTTTCTGCTGTTTGGCTGCTGCCAGATTCACAGACAGCACTCTGCATGGTGTCCCGCTCATTTCATGCTTCTCCCTTCGCTTTGGTTTCCTAACAGTATGATGTTGCTGTGCCTGAATGCAGACTTTTATCCACCAATGGGATCACGTAAATCCACGTTTCTATTTATTTTTATAATCTTTTGCACTTAAAAAAGCCTTACAAAAAAAAAAAAAAAACAAAACCAAAAAACATTTTAGGGCTTGGGATGTGGCTCACGTCAAGCCGTAGTTTGTGAATTAAAGGAGTCTTCAGTTGTCTGAGAAAAATCTTGCCAAGCTCAGCAGAAGGTTCTGGGCTGGAGGTCTTTGTTTTTCGCGTAGGTCAGCCTGGGTGCACTCGCAGTGCCATTTGATCTGGTTTGGGAGGTGACAACAATCAACCGTTGGATGGTTTGGATTGAAAGGGACCTTCAGAGATCATCCAGTCCCAACCACGGGCAGGGACATCTTCAACCAGACCAGGGGGCTCCCAGCCCCGTCCAACCTGGCCTTGAACCCTCCCAGGGAGGGGGCAGCCACAGCTGCTCTGGGCACCCTGGGCCAGTGTCTCACCACCCTCATCATAAAGAATTTCTTCTTACGTCCAATCTAAACCTAACTTCTTTCAGTTTAGAACCTTTGCCCCTTGTCCTGTCACTACAGGACTTTGTAAAAAGTCCCTCCCCACCTTCCCTGTCCCCCCTTTAAGCCCCGGGAGGCCGCTCGAAGGTCCCCCTGGAGCCTTCTCTTCTCCAGGCTGAACCCCCCCAGCTCTCTCAGCCTTTCTCCACAGCAGAGCTGCTCCAGCCCTCGGACCATTTCCGTGTCCCTCCTCTGGCCCCGCTCCAACAGGTCCGTGTCTGGCCCGTGCTGGGGACCCCCGAGCTGGCTGCAGGGCTCCGGGGGGGCTCCCCAGAGCGGAGCAGAGGGGGAGAATCCCCCCCCCCCCGGACCCGCCGGCCACGCTGCTCGGGGTGCAGCCCAGGAGTCACTTGGCTTTCTGGGCTGTGAGTGCACGTTGCCGGCTCCCGTCCCATTTTTCATCCACCAACACCCCCCAGGTCCTTCTCCACAGGGCTGCTCTCCATCCACTTATCCCCCAGCCTGTGCTGGTGCTGGGGGTTGCCCCAACCCGGGTGCAGAACCTCATGAGGTTCACCTGGGCCCACTCCTCCAGGGTCCCCCTGGATGGCATCCCTCTCCTCAAATAAATCAACTGTGCCACTCATCTTGGTGTCCACCATCTATGTCATCGATGAAGATATTTCATAGTATTGGTCGCAGTACGGACCCTTGAGGGACAGCATTTGTTACTGGTTTCCACTTGGACATTGAACCATTGACTGTAACTCCTCGGACGCGGCCATCCAGCCAATTCCTGATCCATCTAACAGTCCATCCATCAAACCCATTCCTCTCCAACTTAGCGGCAGGAATGTTATATGGGACCATATTGAAGGCCTTACAGAAATCTAGGCAGATGACATCTGTAGCTCTTCGCTCCTTCACCAGTGCAGTCACTCCATCGTAGAAGGCCACGTACCTTTGTCAGGCACAATTTGCCCTTGGTGAAGCCAGGTTGGCACCTCCCTGCCTTCCTCGTTTCGACACGTCTTCCAGGAGGATCTGCTCCATGATCTTACAGGTGAGATGCCTCTCTTGAAGGTAGGAGTACTAGCAGTTAAGGTAGTAGCAACACTTTACCTGCAGTGAGTGCTGGCTTTTGAAATAAAATTAATGGAATTTAAGCTGGTTTTGTTAAAACTAGTGCTTAGCAAAATGTTGGAAGGTCATCAGCGTCCTGGCTTTGGGGTTGAACGTGCCACTCCTCTGATAGACAACCTGAAAACCCAAAGCTCAGAAGCCTTTAGGAGGACACATGGAGATGGGGAACGGGCAGGCGCTGCGCTCAGCCGTGTCACAAGCGGTGGGGCTGGATTTGGCCAAGGCTTTTTGGCCAAATATGTTAAAAGAGTGGTGTGGAGGACAGAAATGGAGACACCCAAGAACGAAATCAGAAGGCTGCGGATTTCGGAGAGATTGGCAGAATCGCCTTGGGGCGGGGGACCTGAGGACAAGGCAGGGATAAAAGAAGATAGAAGGACAAAGGAGCTACCAGGTGGCTTGGAAACTTTGAAAACCGCTTCTTCCTCGCACCATATAGGTGCCATGAGCCCCTGCCCTGGCTACATGGCGAAGTGGAGAGATGGGTAGGAGAGACAAGCAGGCTCGAGCTCCTTCCCTGGCTTTTATGCAGCTTTGCTAATTAATTAGATGCCTCAAGAAAGTGCTCAAGGAGGTCATGCCTTGGCAGGACCCGGCACTGCTGCTGGGCTGTGGCATCTCTCTTGGCTTGTGCCACCAGCACCTGGGGTGACGGCATCCCTGCGGACGGGGTCAAAGCCATAGGAGCCGAAGGTTCAGCATCCAGCTGTTCCACAAGCAACGTCGCGCCCGGAAAAAGCTTTTCATCTTCAAAGCGGTTCACAAATCATCACTAATTGCATTCGTGCAGGTGCCGGGAGGCAAACGAAGCTTAATTAGGGCACGCAAAAGGCTTAGATCCTCTCCGGATAGGCAAGCTTTGAGTTTCTCCTCTCTTGATGTGCAGCACCGCGGGGCCCAAGAGCGGGTCCGGGCTTTCATCCCGCCGCCTCGCTGCCAGAGAGGGACCTGTCTGCAGGACCGTGGTGCGATGCCGATGCCTGGCCGGGGTGGGAGGTGGAGTTTTTTCAACTGCTTCACTTTTTTTTTTTGCCCGTGGTCCTTGGATGCGGATAGCAGCTCCGTGTCCGCGCGCGCATCTCCAGAGCCGAGCAGAGGAGCAGGCACCGGTGCCTACGTGTAACCCAAGTGCCGACGAGCAACCCCTGCTCGGCACCGAGTTGAGAAATCGAAGCCTTGCTCTGCGCTCGCCCCCCCCCTTCAGAGCATCGTCCTGCCAGCTCCCCACTTCCCAAAATCCCTCGGCATCCTCACGGCACCTGCGACGGGCCTTGCCTCCTGCCGCAGGGATGCGGCCGCTCTGCCCCGGCCCCAGCAGGCTCGACTTGGGATCACCCCATCCCCAAAACCCCTGTCCTCATGCCTGTCCCCAGTGCCACACCCCCCCGGCACAGCGCCAGCGTGGCAGCAGCTCCATCCAGGGACCCCCTGGCTGTCACCTCACTGGGGAGGTGACCCCATGCTGGGTGCAGTAGCCCCCCCCCAAGGACTGAAGGGACTAAAAAAAACCAAGCCTGCCATCGTGCTGCCCACGTTTATTTGGTCCCAGCCCTGCGGAGGTAGCACGTGGCGTGGACGTGGGTCCACACCATCTCCCACCCCCGGTCAGGGTCTCACGGGGGGGCATCGGGGGTCCCTGGAGAAGTTCGGTCTGTTCCCCATCGCCCCTCTTGCCCCATGCCGGGGCAGGACGGAGGGGCTCATCCCCAGCCAGGCCACTAGTCCTCGGCCACGTCGCATGCCCGGTTGGTGGCCGCCTCCACCGCGTTCATGACGGTGGCCCGCAGCGCACCCTTCTCCAGCTGGTGCAGGGCGTGGATGGTGGTGCCCCCGGGCGTGCAGACATCTCCTCGCAGCTTCGCCGGGTGCTCCCCCGTCTCCAGCATCATCTTCGCTGCACCCTACGGGAATTTGGGGGGGGTGGGTCAGAGAGAAGGGGACCTCCCGAGCCTCCCTTCTCTTTGCCCAGGGGTTGGATGGCAGCATCCTCCCACCGCCCACACCCCTGCGGGTGTGTCCCACCGCCACGCCCTCTGCTCTCTCCTGGTGGCCCCATCTTCGGTTCCAAGAGGGGAAACTGAGGCAGGAGGCCATCCAGCACCTCCTCCCTCGCGCTGCCACCCCTGTCGGGTGCCGCAGAGCCCAGGGCAGCGATGGTGACGGCACGCCCGAGCCCGGTGGGAGCTGTGGGGCAGGAGGGAAGGGAGCAATGTCCCCAAGTGACAGCACCGACTCACCAGCAGCGTCTGAGCCGCGATCCTGCTGGCTAAGCCGCCCGGCATGCCCATCTTCACCGCTCCCTCGGCCAGAGCTTCAGCAAACAGGTAGACCTGGGGGGAGAAGAGCATTGGGGGGGGGGGGGGGGGGGGGGAATAAGCGTGGCAAAAGCGGGGGACCCCAAACCCCAACCCCACACGGGTGGGATTTCTGCCGGCGTCCCGTGTCCCGCCAAGCACGGGTGCTTACGTAGGCCACGCCGCTGCCGCTGAGGCCGGTGTGGATGTTGATGTAGGATTCGGGGACCTCCTCGCAGAGCCCGCAGGAGGACAGCAGGCTCTTCAGCAGGGCAGCTTCGCCATCACCGGCACTGCTGCCCCGGGCAAAGACCATCGCCCCTGCCTGCACCACGCACGGCAGGTTGGGCATGAGCCGCAGCACCTTGGTCCCGGCGGGGAGAAGCTGGGGAGAAACGGGGATGGGAGAGAGGTGCCAAGCTCCGGGCAGCACCCAAGGGTGCCCTGGGACACCGGTGGGTAGCACCCATCAGGGCTGGCGGAGAAGCGCGGACCACGGGGAAGGAGCCGGGGATGCAACTTCGGTGGGGACAGAGCCACAGCGGCGTGTCCTTCTCCACGGGCCCGGGTACAAATGGAAGAAGGATCAGAAGGAGGAAGAGGAGGCTCACCCGCTGCAGTGTCTGGAGGGTGACGCCGGCCGTCAGTGAGACAACGATGTGGTGGGGTCCCACAGCGGGACGGATTTCCTGCAGGACGCCTGGCAGGACGTGGGGTTTGGTGGCCAGGAAGACCAGGGTGCTCTCCTGCAGCACCTCGAGGTTACAGTGCGTGGTCCGGCAGCCCAACTCCTGCCCGCCGGCAGGGAGAGGTGTCACAGCTTGGCGCCCCAAAAAACCCCAGCACCCCCATGGGCAAGGCACGTTTTCACGCAGGGACATGACTTGGGGACCCGTTCCAGCCACAAAGCCACCAAGGCTTTCCCTGAATTCCACCCAAACCCTGGGAAGGATGAGCCAAAGCCTTGCATGGGGGGAAAGGGTGTCCCGAAATCGTGGCGAGGGGCACCCCAACACGCCTCCCACCACCGAGCAGGGTGGCTTGTCATCCCACGTCCCCACTCACCCGCCACGCATCCAGGTTTCTGTCCGAGGGAGCGCTGGCCAGGACGCTGCTGGCTGGCACCTTCCCTTGGGGAACACAAGGACCAGGGTGAGCAGCCGGGGTGGCCCCAGGGTGGTGGGGACACCCCAGCACAGCCTGGGCACCCCAGGATCAGCCGGGAAGTGCTCCTCTCCTCCAACCCCAGCACGATCAGCCTGGGGGACATGGAGAAAAGGGGGCCGAGGCCGGATCCCACCAGTCTGGCTGGCGTGGGCACCCCACGGGGATGGCCGTGGGCACCCAGTTAAGCCATGGTGCAGTGACAAGGGAGGTGACCCTAAAAGCAGGATCTATCTCCCAGCTTCTGAGGGTGGGCAGGGCTGTCCCCACACTGTGCTATGGGGCAGGGACAACCTGGGACAGCCAGGGAGGGGAGGGATAAGGGCTGTGTCCCCACTATCTGTGGGGTAGCGACACGGGGGAGGGGGGCAGGACAGGGCTGTCCCCAGGTCCCCACACTGATCTGTGGGGTAGGGACCCCGGGGAGGGTAGGGAACCGGGGGAGGGAGGAAGGACAGGGCTGTCCCCAGGTCCCCACACTGATCTGTGGGGCAGTGACCCGGGGAGGGGGGCAGGACAGGGCTGTCCCCGGGTCCCCACACTGATCTGTAGGGCAGTGACCCCGGGGAGAGCAGGGACCCTGGGGAGGGGGGCAGGACAGGGCTGTCCCCACGTCCCCACACTGATCTGTGGGGCAGGGACCCGAGGGAGGGTAGGGACCCCAGGGAGGGCAGGGATCCCAGGGAGGGGGGCAGGACAGGGCTGTCCCCGGGTCCCCACACTGATCTGTGGGGCAGGGACCGCGGGGAGGGCAGAGGCCGGGGGGAAGGGGGGCAGGGCAGGACTGTCCCCAGTCCCCACGCTGATCTGTGGGGCCGGGCCCCCCCGGATCGCCCCCCCTTTGCCCGTACCTGCCCGCAGCAGGCCCCGGGCCAGGCCTCCCGCCATCCGCCCGGCGCCCACGAACCCGACCCGCAGCTCCGCCGCCTCCATCGCGCCGGGCGGTCACGCCCCGCCCCCTCCAGGCCCCGCCCCCCGTGACCACGCCCCCCCCCGCGCCGCCGACCCTTCCCGAACGCCCATTGGCTGCTCTTTGCCCGCCCCTGCCCTTCCATTGGCGGTGGCGGGCTATAAGGGGCGGGGCCTGGGCGAGGGGCGGGTGTCTGCGCAGGTGCGCGGGCGCCACGTGTGGGGCGGTGGCTGCGTCCGGGGTGGAGCCGCTCCACGCGTGGGGGAGCGGGGGGGGGCACCCACTTCCCCCACCGTGGGCAAAGGGGCGGGGGCACCCACTCACCCGTGGGGAAAGGGGCGGAGGGACACGGTCCTCAGCCCTCCCCAGTCCCATGCTGCCCCTGGGTCTATTTGGGGGGGTGGGGTGTGCGTTACCCCCCCCACGGGGTTGTGTCCCTCCTGTGGGGGGTGTCCCCCAAACCTCTCCCTGCACTTGGGGGGCTGCTCCCTGGGTGCTTTCCCCCCTCCCCTTTCATTCCCCACAGGTCTCCCACCCCACTGCACCCCATTATGCTGCCCCGGAGCTACTGGGCTATGCTGATCTTCTGTGCTGCTGCTGCGTTTTTGGGGTGGCTGGACCTTGGCACCCCCCAAAAGGAAGCAGAGGTCCCCCCAACCTTGGGGACCCCCCCGGAGGTGGGGATTGCCCCCCACGACTCCTTTGAGAAGACCACGGGTGTTGATGACCAGTTCAAGGCTGAAGCCACGTGCTGGGCGCTGTCACCCCTGGACGACTGTCACCGTCAGGTGTGGCCTCAGGGGTCCCCCCACAGTGGGGGAAATGGGGGTCCTGGAGAACCCCCGCTCTGGGCAGCTGCTTTGCCTGTTGCAGGGTGTTGGCACGGGATGGTTTGGGGGGTGGGGTGTGAAAGCCAAGTGCAGGGGTGGGCTCAGACCTTTCTCCTTATTTCCCACCCAAAACCAACCCCTCTGTACCCCCCCACCCCTGGGGGCGGGGAGCACCCATGGGTGCTGAGCCCTGCTGCCGCCAGGTCATGGTGCGGCTCCGCTCGTCCTGCGCCAACCTGAGCAAGGAGGATGAGGAGGAAGAGGAGGAAGGAGCCAACTTGTTCAACTGCCAGGCCAGTGCTGAGGGTCACCGGACATACCCCTGCACCCCCGACACGGTAAGGTGCCTGGGCGAGGCACCCCAAATTCTGTTTTCTCCAATTCCCCCCAAATCCTACAGTCATCCAATGCAATTTCCCCCCCCCCCCTCGCCAAAATCCCAAACTTTGTAGCTGCAAAGCCCGAGCCGCCTCTGCTCAGCCCCTCACCCTCATTTTGGGGTAAAACCAGCCCTGTTTAGCACATTTCCCTCATGGCAAATGGGGGTTTCTACTCCTAATCCCCTTCCTGCCCCCCAGCCTTGCTTGTTTCCAAAGGCTTTTCCAAACTTTTCCACGTCAGCGCCACGGGATGGAGATTAAACCCTGGGGGGCTCATTTGGGGATGCTGAGGGGGTGCCCCGTGGTGGTGGGCATCGCTGTGGGGTGATGGTTTGAGGTGGGGGTGGGGGCTGTGGGGTCACCATCCTAATATTCACCCCAGGAGGAGCTGGGGAAGCGGCTGAAACTGGAGACCTGCGACTGCCACAACCTTCAGCAACTGGTGCTGGCTGAGACCCTCACCACCGTCGAGCAGCACCGGGTGGCCCAGCTCATGGAGGACATCGCCCAGCAGATGGGTAAGAGCCACCAGCTGGGATGCTGCTACATCCCCCCCCCTCCCTGTTCCCCCCCTCCTTGGGGACCAACCCAACTTCTTGCGCCTCCTTACTGGGAAAGTGAGCAACCGTGGAGCCACAGAGCTCTGGGAAGGGTTGTCCTGTCCGACCTCTACCACACGCAGGAAGGAGCTCGGGATGTCTATTCCCAACTAGGTGGGAACGCGGAGAACCCCGTTCCCAGCTCTTTTTGCACTGGGACAACCCTGGATGCAGCTTCCCCGGCTCACCCCGATGTATCCAATCTCTCTGCGTGCAGGGAATGACCTGACCCTTCTCCTGGCCCAGCAGCAGCGGATGGAGGAGGTGATGGAGAAGCTGCAGCAGGTCAACCAGAGCCTTGGGTTGGTGTTGACTGCTGTGGAGGGTGCACGGAGCCAGCTGGAAAACCATCTGCAGCACCTCCACACTGTCCTCGACCCACCCGGTGAGTCAGGGGTGGGTGCTGGTGGGCGGGTGGGTGCTGGTGGGTGTCAACGCCAGGCTCTTTCTCCCCATTCCAACAGGTCAGAGCCCAAGTGCCATCTCCACCTCCATCCTACACGGCTCCTACTTGGTGTTGCTGGCTGCATTGCTGATGCTCACGCCACCTCATGCCATCCTGCTCCTCTTCCTCTTCTTCCTCGCCTCCAGCACCCTCAGCATCCCAGCACTCTCCGTTCTCCTGGTCTTCACCGTGGCAGGTGGGGATGGGTGTTGGGGGGGGACCTGGTTGGGGACACGCCACCCTGAGGGTGCTACAGGGATGGGCTGAGGGGGTTCTTGCCCTCTCCCACCCTCTTTCCTCCCTGCAGGACAGTGGCTGGTGGCGGCTGCCCGCCGCGGTGCTGGGGGAGCCTGGCTGGTCCTTCCCCAAGAGGAGCCCCACCACCAGCTCACCTCCACCCCAGACAGGTAGGAGATGGTTGCGGGGGGGAACAAGGACACACGCGGCACCCTTGGGAGCTGCTAGAACCCAAGCTGGGCACCCATCCTAGATGTCCCATCCTGCTGCCATCTAGCAGAGGTCCCCAGGGTGGGCTGCTTGTCCCCAGGAGGGGGCAGGACCCATCTTGGTGGCTTGCCTGCCGCTTTTGGACACCTCCTCCGAGCTCCCTGCCCTATTTCTGCCCAGAGGAGGGTGTCGAGGAGGCTGCTGTCATCATGATGGTGATGTAGAAGCAGCTGCCAAGGCAAGGGGGCTCTGGTTTTCCTTCTTTCCGCGCAGGGAGTGCAAAATTGAGCTGTTGCAGGAGGAACTGGACGGGATGGAGATGAGCTGCCTGCAAGGTGAGAGCCGGCTGGGCAGGGGGGACGTGGGAGAGATGACAACGAGGTGGGAGGTTTGGTGGCTGTAGGACAGGGGTCCGAAGCCCCAGCACGTTCCCCCATCCCTGTGCTTGGGGCATGTGCATTACTCCGGAATGTCCCCAAGCTGTGCTAGGTGTCCCCATCCAACACGTGGGGACAACAGCGCTGGGCCTGCGCCCACCACCCATGCCGTGTTCTTGCAGAGCCCTCGCGCCTGGAGCAGCCCCCGGCGATGGCAGGGGACACCCCTCGCGTAGCAAGGCGGGTGTCACCCGTCCCCAGCGGCTGGAGGACAAAGCTGAGCTCGTGTGGGGTAAGCCTGAGCTGGGGGTGGGATTGTCCCCAGGTTGGGCCAGACCCTGCGGCTGGGGGACCAGCTTGGGGGGGTCCCCTTGAGGGTCAGGTCCTCTAGGGTTGGGGTGTCCTCATCGTGACTGCACCTCGGGGTGCTGGACACCCTGTTGGGAAAGGGACCGGCGCTGGTCCCACAGTGCTTGTGGGGCCACGACGCCGAAGGAGAACTTTTGGGGGAAGAGGGTGTTCTCCAACGAGGAAGAGCCAAAGCACCCATCCTCTAATGACCCCCCACGTCCCCAGGGGCCAAGGGACATCTCCTGCAGGACAGGAGGGTCACCGGGGCCAGAGGGTACCCTGCCGAACCGCTTCTTCCCCAGCCAAGCGATGCTGGAGTCTGCCACGGGTGCTGGGAAGCGCTGGGAGCCCAAACCCTGCAGCCCGAGCCAGTCTCTGGCCAACGACGTGTGAGTACCAACCATAGAGGACATCCCTTCTCCAGGGCCACCAGGGGCTGGTGGCACCTTGGGGTGCAGTCAGTGACCTGACAGTGGGGGGGGGGACAGCCCCCGCTGGGGGCTTCCTGGGGTGCTGATGGGTCTCTCGTCCGTAGGTCCTTGCTGTCCCCACGGTCCCCGTGCCAGGGGCTCACCAGGGCCGGGCAGCGATGCCGGAAGAAAGCCATCCCCGGCCAGGAATTCTGCCACATCCACACCACCGGTCAAGCCTCAGGCAGCCACTTGGCCACGGACTTGTCACCCCATGTCTGACTCCCCACCCCCTCCCCGAGGGCTTTTGAAACCCCTTTTTTTTTTTTTTTTGGCTCTTCCAGATCCTGGTGGAGAACACAGGGCGGTGCCCAGGACCCTAAGGGTGCCATTTGACGTGGGTACGGGACCATGCTGCGCGGCAGACGCTCTTCACCCCACCGTTTTTATGCTATTTGCATCTGTTTTAATAAATGCCATATTTACAGCTGGAGCCTTCCCACTCCTGGTCCCTCTGCCCCATCTTGATGCTGGGGTAGGGGCAGCTTTGGGGGCTTTGAGACCATCCCCACATGTCAACAGCAACAGCAAATGCCCAGGCTGCCACTCCTGCGCTGCAGAAACAACCCTGATCACCTTCCCTTTATTACAGCCTAATTACAGGTAATTAGCAGTGTAACCCATTACATGGCCAAGGCAGAGGTGGTGGCTCCAGTTGGCTGCTACCATCTGGTCTGAGGTCCCAAAGCCTTTGGGGTGGCCCGGCATCCCGCACCGCTCCTAGCAGCAGGCAGGAACGTGGGGGTTGCTCCCTGGGCTCTTGCCCTTTTTTTACTTTGGAAATGTCACTGTCACTCCCCCCAGCCCCGTCCTCTGCCCCAGCAAAGGACAACCCTGAGTTGAAGAGGATGATGCCGGTGCCGCGCTGGCCCCTCACTTCCTGGCATCGGCGTAGTTGGCGCTGAACCAAGCGCAGGTCTCCGTCACGGCTGGGAAGGGAGAAGATGGGATGGGTTTTGGGATTGGGAACGCAGTTTGTTCACAGAATCAGTGAATGGGTTGGGTTGGAAGGGACTTCTGAAGGTCATCTAGTCCAACCCCCCCTTGCGATGAGAAGGGACAACTTCAAGGAGATCAGGTTGCTCCAAGCCCCGTCCAACCTGACCTTGAACCCTTCCAGGGATGGGGCATCGACCACCTCTCTGGGCAACCTGGTCCAGTGTCTCACCACCCTCAGTGTAAAAAAACGTCTTCCTTGGATCTAGTCTGACTCTTCCCTTCGTGTCACAACACACCCTACTAAAAAGCCTGTCCCCCTCCTTTTTATCAGCCCCCTTTAAGTTTTGAAAGGATGAACCACCCTGATGCCACCACGGCTAATTGCGGTGGGTAGGACCTCTGTGTTTTGTGGAGCCCCCCCCCCCATCTCACCTTGCCTGAAGGGTGTGAACTGGAAGTTGGGCAGGTAGCGCCGTAGCTTGGCGTTGCTGGCCGTCTTCTTGAACTGCCCATCCGCCTTGGTGGTGTCAAACTGGGGTGGGAAGGATTAAGGGAAACTAAAGGAGGAGGGGGAAACAGGTCTTGCTCTGCCCCACGGTGTCCTGGCTGGGGCAGGGAGAGGGATGCTCGGGGTGTTGCTCTGGACTGTGGCATCTCCCCTGGAACCCTATGGCTGCTGGTGGAAAGTGGGGTGCCCCCCCCATGCCACCACAGCTTTGTGGGTGAGGGGGGCCAGCCTGCAGTGAAGGATACAACAAGCTCTCCCCTGAAGTCCATGGCTTCCACGATTGCCTCTGCTGCTTCCCTGATGGAGACTTCATCTTCTTCTCCCACTGTGGAAAAGGGCATGATTGTGGCCATTCCTCCATCTTCTTGGAAAGGGGCTGGAGCCCCTTTTTGTAGGGGGGGCAGACAGGGCTTACCTGACAAAATGATGGGCTCTACCTCATCGTATTCCCGCAGGACCCAAAGGAAGAGCCGGGCCAGGTCCTGCAGAGGGGCAGATGGCTCTTGGGGGGGGTGGCTGCTGTCCCCCAGCCCTCCCATCGCAAGGGGACCCAACCCTGAGGGTGGCCAACACTGCCCAGGACAACCCAGGTGGCCTCCAACCCTGCTGAGGTCCAGGAACTGCCCCCACCCCCATACCCTGCTCTCCCCAAACCACGGGGAGGCAAGTACTCCCCAAGATCACACATACCAGGGAGTAGATGAACTGTCTCCTGGGCTTGCCAGTGCCCCAGATGGTCAGAGCAGAGCCAGACTCTGCAGGAGGAAGAAGAGCATGTCCATAAGCATTGGAGCCATCTCTACCCACCCTGGCTACCTTGCAGAGCAGCTCATGGAGCAGGAAGAGGGAAAAAAAAAAAAACAAAACAAAAAACCAAACACATCCCAACCCTCCCCCAAAAAAGCCTGTCGCACTCACGTTTGGCCAGGTAGACCTTGTGGATGAGCCCCGGCAAGACGTGGCCGTCCTCGATGTTGAAGTTGTCATGTGGCCCGAAGACGTTGGTGGGGATGACGGCGGTGAAGCGGCAGCCGTGCTGCTCAAAGTAGCCCCTGGGTGAGAGCAGGGAGGGCGCAGATGGGTTGGCCACCAGCTACAGTCACCCACCCCTTCGGCACAGAGCTGTTCCCAGAAGACCCTGGCCAGCAGCATCTCCATCTGCTGAGCCCAGGTATCCCCCCCAGCTCCGTTTAATTCCTGAGAGTTCAAGGGGCTTCCCCTTGCCCTGATAACCTGCGGGTGCTCGCACCCTTCCAAGGGCTCACTCGTGTCCCTCCCTCACCTATTTTGGATGTCGATCATCCTCTTGGCATAGGAGTAGCCGAAGTTGGAGCTGTGAGGTGGTCCGTTGTGAATCTGGTGACAAAAGCTGAGAGTTAAGCAGGGCAGGGACCCCCTGGGCTGTGCATGGGGACAGAGGTGCCCACCATGCTCTCGTCGATGGGGTACGTTGTCTTGTCTGGGAAGATGCAGGTGGAAAGGCAGGAGACCACCTTCTGCACCCCCGTCTCGTAGGCCGAGTGCAGGACGTTGTCATTGATGTGGATGTTTCTCCTCTGAGGATGGAGAGATTTGTCAGAGCTGTGGGGTGGGGACCCCCAAAACCCTGCACCCTATGGGTAATAACTCATTAATAACCCCAAAAAACAGAGAAGCACTGGTTTGGCCCTGGGAGCAGAGCAAGCCCTGTCCCCGTGTCCCCACATCCCAGCTGGGGAAGGGCAGGGGGTTGCAGCATCCACAGGGACCCCGATACCACCCATCCCCCAGGTGCTCACCCAAAAATCCAGGTTGTAGCGGATGTTTTTGAAGAGGCCCCCAACCATGGCAGCCAGGTGGATGACATGAGTGGGCTTGTGCTGCTCGAACAGGGCTTTGGTCTCCGCGGCATTCCTGGGATGGGAAATTTTGGGGTTCAGCAGCGCCAAGGGAGCAAACGAGGGAGGGGTTTCCAAGCGAAAACCCATGCAGTCAACTCACGTCAAGTCGGCGTCTCTGGAGGAGACAAAGATCCACTCCTCATCCGGCCGCCCCTCTCCATCAGCCACCACCTTCTCGATGGCTCTCCCCACCAAACCGGTGCCACCCGTCACCAGGATGCGCTTGGGCACCGGCCCCGCTCCCTCCGTCATAGCCAAAATCCTGTGGGGAGTTGGGGGGGCTAAGCTGGGGTCACCCCTGAGCTCACCCCCCCCGCCCCCCCCAAGCATAAGTACCCACGAGCGTCACCCCAGGAGCACCAGCCACACGCCAGGCTGGTGGGAGAAATTTTTTTTTTTTTTTTTTGGGGGGGGGGAGGGAGGGGGAGTGGGGGGATTTTACCCGCTTCTGGCGGAAAAAGCGAAAAGGAAAGCGGAAGCGGTGTGTTTGGCGGTGACGCGGCTGGGCTGGGGTTAGGAGAAACTCGTCAGCTGTAGCTGCTAATTAATGAAACTGGCGGGTGGCCCACTGGCACACGGGTGGGGGCCAGACCCCGCCACACCGCGCTGCCCGGCCTCTGGAAATGGAGGCTCACCCCTGCACCCCCGTGTATCCCCCATGCCCCAGGTCTGCACCCCGAACCTCCCCCTGCACCCCAAACCCCGGTTCGGCACCCAGGTCTGCACCCCAAACCTCTCCCTGCACCCCAAACCCCGGTTCTGCACCCAGTTCTGCACCCCACACCTCCCCCTGCACCCTAAACCCCAGGTCTAAATCCAGGTCTGCACCCCACACCTCCCCCTGCACCCCAAACCCCAGGTCTGCACCCCACACCTCCCCCTGCACCCCAAACCCTAGGTCTACATCCAGGTCTGCACCTCACACCTCCCCCTGCACCCCAAACCCCAAGTCTGCACCCCCACACCTCCCCCTGCACCCCAAACCCCAGTTCTGCACCCCAAACCTCCCCCTGCACCCTAAACCCCAGGTCTAAATCCAGGTCTGCACCCCACACCTCCCCCTGCACCCCAAACCCCAGGTCTGCACCCCACACCTCCCCCTGCACCCCAAACCCTAGGTCTACATCCAGGTCTGCACCTCACACCTCCCCCTGCACCCCAAACCCCAAGTCTGCACCCCCACACCTCCCCCTGCACCCCAAACCCCAGGTCTGCACCCCACACCTCCCCTCTGCACCCCAAACCCTAAGTTTACACCCAGGTCTGCACCTCACACCTCCCCCTGCACCCTAAACCCCAGGTCTAAATCCAGGTCTGCACCCCACACCTCCCCCTGCACCCCAAACCCCGGTTCTGCACCCAGTTCTGCACCCCACACCTCCCCCTGCACCCTAAACCCCAGGTCTAAATCCAGGTCTGCACCCCACACCTCCCCCTGCACCCCAAACCCCAGGTCTGCACCCCACACCTCCCCTCTGCACCCCAAACCCTAAGTTTACACCCAGGTCTGCACCTCACACCTCCCCCTGCACCCTAAACCCCAGGTCTAAATCCAGGTCTGCACCCCACACCTCCCCCTGCACCCCAAACCCCGGTTCTGCACCCAGTTCTGCACCCCACACCTCCCCCTGCACCCTAAACCCCAGGTCTAAATCCAGGTCTGCACCCCACACCTCCCCCTGCACCCCAAACCCCAGGTCTGCACCCCACACCTCCCCCTGCACCCCAAACCCTAGGTCTACACCCAGGTCTGCACCCCACGCCTCCCCCTGCACCCCAAACCCCAGGTCTGCACCCCACACCTCCCCCCTGCAACCCAAACCCCAGGTTTACACCCAGGTCTGCACCCCACACCTCCCCCTGCACCCCAAACCCCAGGTCTGCACCCCACACCTCCCCCCTGCACCCCAAACCCCAGGTTTACACCCAGGTCTGCACCCCACACCTCCCCCTGCACCCCAAACCCCACGCCTGACCCCCACACCTCCCCCTGCACCCCGAATCCCAGGCCTGCACCCCTCAACCGCAGCCCCCCCCCCCCCCCCCCCCCCCTCGCAGCACCGCCCCTATCCCAACCCAGCACCTCCCACCGCGGGGAACCCCCTCGACCCCTCATACCCCTTGGCGCTCTCCCCTCCGTAGTGTCCCCCCCACTTTTGGGGGACCGCCCCCCCACTCCCCCACCGCCTCAGGGTCCCGTCTCACCCCGGCACGGGGTTCGGCTCGGCTCGGCTCGGCTCGGCTCGGCTCGGCTCGGCTCGGCTCGGCTCGGCTCGGCTCGGCTCGGCCGCGCTTCCTGCCGCCCCGCCTCCGTCCCCGGCCGCCGCCGCTCGGCTCCTCGGGAAATGGAGTCCGCGCTC